GCCTGTTTTAATTCCAACTTATCAACAGAAGTGTGAGTGCAGACAAGAACACAACCAGATCTTGCAGATCCTGTCTGACAAGGACAGCCACATTTCAGAAGTTTTGGAGAGCCTGGTTGCCTTCATGTCTGTTGAGAGTTGTGAGCCAACCAGGAATACCACCACCAAGACCCTGGCATCAAATAGGACTTTGGGCCTTGATGCAAAGCTAGGTCAAATCTGAACCAGTGGTTGGAGTTATGCCAAAGTTTGCCAGGCATTTATTCAAAGGATTTTGCATCAGTGTTCTAGTTTCATCATGAACTTAAGCTTCTGAAAAAAGACGGGAGGATCTCCTTCCACTAGGCATTATTTCCTTCTGTAAATGTAGCTGAATTACAAGTCTTCTCTGTAAATAGCACTATTTATATATAGGAAACAGACCTACTCAAGATATACTATTAACTTTATAATTATAGAATAGGATCCAATATCATGGTTCTAAAAATGAATTTTAAGTATAGAGAAAAATGCATACATCTTCAGAGTCATTTTAATTTGAATTCTTTGAAAAAACTAAAAACCCAAAACTTACTAATTTTTAAAAACTATTTTATTTATTTACTTTTAGAGCAGGGAAGGGAGGGAGGGAGAGAAGCATCAATGTGTGAGAGATACATCGATCACATGCCCCCACCTGGGAAACTGGCTGGCAACCCAGGCATGTGCCCTGACTGGGAATCAAACCAGGGACCTTCTGGTTCACAAACCAGAGCTCAATCCACTGAGCCACACCAGCCAGGGCTATTACCTAATTTTTTTTTTTTTTAAATAAAAAGCCAGGTAAACCTAAGTTGCAATTGCTGCAATTGGCAATGTCAAAAAGTAATTTTTGATGTTTGAAAAAATTAATTTAGGATGAATAATGGAAGCGGTATTTAACAGTTCACTCCCACAGCTAGCCCAAAAGGCACCTTTTTGGGGAATTAGGAAAAAAAAATACCTCTTCTCAGGACACTTTACTGCCATCTGCTGGAAAATTGTTGTCAAAACTATGCAAATCTGCAATGACTGAGGTGAATGCTCTTCCTATAATTGTAAACATTCAATTTTCAGGATTATAAATAAGCAGTGACTAGCGGTTAGTTAACCTCCAAGAATGGTTAGCCAGTGAGATGGAACTGGCGAGCAAATAACAATTATTCCCATAACAAATAGTGCTGTGCACTCCCCTTAGAGCACTTACATGGACTATTCCCCGTAACAATCCTATATAGGAGTTTGGTTTAAATAAAACTATGGGAAATGCATTAAAAGATTACTAAAACAAGTTTGGAAGCTTGGGATGAATAAACATATCCTTCCACAAAATATTCTACTGCTGGAAAGAGAATGCAGATTGATTGTGGTTAGGATCATAATAGCATTTTTTTATTTTTGAGTATATACCACTTCTCTATTTCCACGCTTTCATCCAAGAATGGAATATTAGAAGAGTTTTTAGATGTGTAAATTTTGAAGTACGTGGAGAGAAATATTTTACTGGTGTTAACTGACTCTGCATGAAAATAATGAGACCAACACTAGCCAGTTTCATGTTACCCTGTAGCCACGAAGTTGCCTCATCAAAGTTGAAAACAGCGAATGTTCTTCATCAAATTAACCAAGAATATATTTGCGATAACTACCTTTATTAACTTTAATGAAGATTTACATTTTATTACCAGGGGATTTTTGTAATAATGTATTTGTATGTTAAATGTACATGGAAGATGGTGATTAAAATAATGTCTGTTAAAGCCATAAATCGCCCCCCTCACAGAACACACACATAAACTTAGGTATACTTTATTATTCTTTGACTTGAAACACTTCATTGGTACCCTGTTACTTTGAAAATGAAGTTTAAATTTTCTTATTCTTTTTTATAAGTACAAACAATTCTTTATTGCAACATGAATTCTTAAAGTTAGTTCAAATATACACTTTCAAACATTAAGAATTTTTATTTAATACATATTGTATTTTTTTCCATTACCATTTAGTCCCCTCATACTCCCCTCCCCCCAGCAATCCCCACACTGTTGTCCATGCCCGTGAGTCCTTTTTCCTTTTTGCTCAATCCTTCTACCCTCTAACTTCCCCCTCACGATAGCTGTCATCTACTCTCCATCTATGAGTCTGTCTCCGTTTTGCTTGTTAGTTCAGCTTGTTCATTAGATTCCACATATGGGTGAAATCCTATGGTATGTGTCTTTCTCTGACTGGCTTATCTCACTTAGCACAATGTTCCCAGGTCCATTCATACTGTTGTAAAGGGTAAAATTTTCTTTGTTTTTATGGCCAAGTAGTATTCCATTGTGTAAATGTCCCACAGTTGTTTTTTTTGTCCTGACTGGTATGGTTCAGTGGATTGAGCACCAGCCTTTGAATGGAAAGGATTCTTATATTCCTGGCTGGTACCTTCCAGGAGATGGTGTTCACAAGGTAACTTTGTGGAAGGTAATCCTGTGGGAGTTCTCCACCATGAAACTTAACAAGAATTCAAAATACAGAGTAAACAATGTCTGTTGATTTCTCACATTCTTAATACATAAAATGACCTGATCTGTATTCTCCAACCTTATCTCCTATCATGTCTCCAGATACCCTTTAATTCTGACTATACCAGACTACTAAGTGCCCTCGGAACATGTGCTGCTGGTTTATAGTACTGTAATCTTTCATACCCTATTCCCTCTGTCTGGGACCCTGTCCCCCACCTCATCCATTTGAAAACCCATTTTCTTCAAAACCCAGGTCAAGTGTTTTCCCTTCCATGAAGCTTTCCATGATCGCTTCAAGAATTTAATGTTTCAAATGTTCTGAATGATTGTGTGTAAATGAGTAAACGAATATAAAATACCTACAGGTAACATGTATAAATTAGACCATTAGGCATTGAACATGGTACATAGGTATACAAAGTCTTTATATATTTCTAGTTTAATAAAAATGTTTTCCTTTTAGTCTGGAGAAAAATGGAGGACCATCTGTAATTCCTGTCTTTAAAAAAGGTAATTGATTTTTCTTTTATCTCTGAGATACCTTCTAGCCCTAACACTTTATAATTCTGTGTTCTGTTTATAAAAATGAAAAATGTAGAGGCTACCAAAAGTTTACCTGTAAACTTTTGCCTTTGTTATTCTGTATAACTAAAGTATCTTCCCATTTACAAGCCAATGTTAAACATTTCTTTTAAGGCCTTCCCTCTTACATCACTTGACAGAAATTCATTTTTTTGCTTTTTCTCATAAGCCATGCACAGTAATGAGTCATTACTGAAAAACATGTAAGTATGACTTAAATTATGACCTTGCTATTGTTCTTTTCCATGTACAACTTGCCTAATGAATTCTTAGGGTAGAGGCCACATTTTTTTCCATTGATATTCTGTAGTTCTCTACATAGTTGATAAATGATGGCTGAGTGGCCTAGGCCTGCAAGATCAAAGTCCAGATCTTATACTGTTACCCATCAGTCCCTATCAGACATATGACGGGAAAAACAAATTACTTACTGATTTCACATATATGCTTAGTGTTTGTTCATATGTGTTTAATGTAGGACCAAATTTAGTCTTACTTGGTATATTGTCCTATAGTCAAAAGCAAGGATAGAACCACTCAGAAGTCAGATTGCTGTAGTCACAACCAGAAAGAAGGAAATTAGGAAGAGAGAACAAAAGAAGAAGAAAATAATTTCATTTATTCAGGGAGTATTTGAGGGAAGCCAAATGTGTATGTATAGGAGGCTGTATTTCTGAATATCATGGGTAGAAGAATGCCTGTTTTTTTGTACAGCTTTTTTAGTTAGTCTCATTCTTTCTTCACTTTAATACTGATTTCTAAATAATAATCTGTGCCAGTAATGGTCTGAAGAAGTTTTCACAGGTTTGTGGTAACATAAGGCAAAATAAAGACAATGTAGTAAGTTTCTGATAAAGTCCATCATTTTGAAATAATGCCTTTTATACTTTTTTTGGTGTTAAAATATCCCTTCTTTTATAAAATAATATTAAAAATAATGGGCATTTGTTGTTTTATTAAGTGCCAAATTGGCACGATAAAAGTTGGCAACCATATATTTGGTCCCCAAAGATTTTTGCACTCTGACATCTAAAAGTCTGGAAACTACTGATCTACTTTCTTAGTATGTTTTACTGATGTAAAGAAAATAGAACTATATGGAACTAAAGGCAATTAGACCATACCTAGGATTCTTAGGTTTAACAAAGAGACATTTAATTGTGGCTCTCTAATTTTTAGGGAAAGAGCACAGAAGAAAATTAAAACCTAAAATTCAACCAAGAGATTCTTTGACTTTATTGCCTCCTGTAACTAACTTCATGGGACTCTTCAAGACAACAAAAAAGACCACTGTTTCTCATAATATTTTTTCCTTTTCATCTGCAATTTCATCAGATATCATAAAAGTATCAAGACCAAGAATAGTATTTTTGAACAAACTTGGAAAACAGGTACAGAAGGCTAATTTGGAACCTGCAGAAGGCTAATAAAGGCATGTTAGTATGAAAGGATTCCTGAGAAATCTTTTAAATTTTTAATTGCGGTAAAATACACATTAACATAACTAAGTAATCTTTTTAAATGGAAGATCTTAATATTTAACAGATTTCCCTTAGCATGTCTACGGGAATTAAACTCAGGCAAAGTTATAGATTCAAAAAGTAGGTAGAATTTTCTGAAATAAAATTTCTGCACTTAAAACTATTAAAATACAGGAACTGACACAAGTGGCATAATTAGCATTTGTATCAAGTGTTATGTTTTTTAATTAGTATGCTGGGCTAAAGAGGCCTAATTCCAAGTAGCCCACATGTTAACACTCACTGTAATACCTTAAGATATTTAATAATAAATACCTCAAATTCATTAGCTTTTAAATGCATACCTTTAAAACATTTTATTTTTATAAATCTGAACTCATTGACCATCAAGTATAAAAGTATGGCTAAAAAATGTGGCAAACAGCACTGACCACTCTCCGTACTTATTGAGAACCTCTGGTTTGCAGCTGGAAAGGGTGATGATATTCTCTGGCTTAGAATGACATGGTGTCTCTGCCCAAAGGGTACTGTTTCATCCCAGTAGATGGAAGTTTTGATGTATGTCTGCTTCTCCTATTTTACAGCAGCACATAGATGTGACACGAAAGCAAGCTGGGCTTCACTGTATCCTTTAAAGGCCCCTTTTTTCTCTATCCGTTTTGCTCAGTGTCTTCATATGTCCTCCTGGGCTGCACTGAACATATATACTAATTAGGGGTTATTTTTCCCAACATGCCTTAACACAACAGTAATGACGGTGATGACAGCAGCTACACATACTTGGACTTTTCAATGTGCCAGAGTCCAAAGCCTATGCTCTTAACCACTGCACCATTAACAAACCTCTTGAGTCCTCAAATACAATTCTATATTCTCTCAATTATTGACTCACAACTTTCTGGTAAATGGACTAAAATATAGGAATTGTGGTGGGAGGGATGGCTTATTTTATACTAGAAAGGGATAAATAATTCAAATGTTAAGAAACCATGTCATTTATTCAGTATCATTAAAAATTAGAGTTAATATCAAAAGAAATATAAAAGCTCTGTAGACTTTTAAAAAAAGCCTTTAAATAGCAAACTTTTAGCTTTGCAACTGTCTTTGGGTGAGCTAAACACTATATTTTAAGAGTATTTTCAGGTATCAGGATCAGGGTTTCTTTGTATTCAACGGTATACACATTACCTGAGTATCTTGGCCTGGCCATACCATCCTACTACTTCTAATACTTACAGTGTTTCTCTTAAAGTACAGCCCCCTCTTCCCTGTAAAGATTATTTTAATTATCTTCCACTTTCCTTTTGTTTTTTTAAATTATGTGTAAGATGAGAAAGGCCTCTAGATATAAAGGTTTCAGCAAATTGACTCGTACCTGACTATAAGCTAAGTTTGGTACATATCCTTGCTAATATAGAGTTCAATGTTTCTCCTCCTTTCCTTCCTCCCTCCCTTTCCTTTCCTCCCCCCCTCCCTTCCCCTCCCCCTGCCTTCTTGTGTTTTCCTCCTTCTTGTCTTTCTTTCCTTCCTTCCTTCTTTCCTTCCTATGGCTAAATACTGAAAGGGCTCAAGATATGAATGCTTCCAGAATTTGCTCATTTTCCATATCTATAGTTTCCCTTACTTATATCATGAACCCAATTCTGTATGCTTATAAATTTAACAACTTATAGATATATCTACTTTATAGTATTTGTGATAGTGGGGAGAAATTTTGGTCAATTTTCTTCCATAATTTATATGTACTCTGATTCTAATAGCCACAGCAAAGAATTTACACTTCTCTTTGAATTCAGATCTGCATAATACAGAACACAAATTCAAATGTTAAATGTGAATGCACCAACTGTTTCTTTTAAATATTTGTAAACCAAATCCATCATACCTATACTTCAAAATCAAAAAATGCAAAGCTTTATAAACATGGACTGTTTCTGTAAGTTCCTTCATATAAATTATATTTTCTATTTCCAGTATAAAATGGATGATCATGAAACAATACTCTATGATCACAATTCTAAACAAAAGAGTAACTTATGGAATTTCCCAAAAGGGAAGTCACCTGAAGACAGAAAATAAGAAATCTTTTCATTATAGATTTGTATCCTTACCACCTAGTTTCTCAATAAAGTCACTGACTAGAAAGTTAACGACATGTCCTGTATGGATGATGTAATATAAATCTCTACTGGTAAATTCTCTCAAAGGACATTAAATAGTCAGTAGCATTGTCCTTATATTGAAAGTTACTTTAATCTAGACAGAAAAAAAGTGATAAACTATTATATACAGTACAAAGTTTCAGATTCTAGGAAATTATCTAAAAACAAAACCAAACCCTTTTCATCGCATCTATTTTCACCAATTAAATAACATTTCTAAAATAATGAATAAAAATATATATGGTCAAAAAAAGTACAATACACAATGATAAATTACTTGCATATCATATTTCTTATTCTTTTACTCTCAGGTAAGTTTTAAGAAATGTATAGACACTCCATTTGCTCCAGAGAACATATCCATATAACATAAATTTTTTTATAATTAATAGCATACCTTCTGTTAGACATCACCTTTTGTCTTGATTTAGAATTCTCTGATTTGACATGACTTTGACCTGGCTCCTTTTCTAAAACTCTTCTCTCATTAGAAAAGTCAGGCTATAGTTTCAGCAAAAGCCAAAAAAATAGCTTCTACTACTCTGATATAAAAAGGGGAAAGATGTATCTAGATCTGTATAACATGGAGCCAGAATTTAGCAGAATCACTGTATTTCTTCCTGCAGGTTTGTTTTTTCTACTTGCCAATATCAGTTCATCCTTCCCCTCAACAGATGTTTTACTTCGGTTTTTATTTAAAATATGTGTATTCTCTAATAAGACAATAACATGTTATTACAGTCTCTCAGAAAAGCAGTCTAAATATCAAACATAAGAAAAGGAGTAAGAAAAGTGTCAATGAACGATATTATATATCTTCTACAATTTGATATACAAAAAAATCAAAACTGAGTGTTGAAATACTACCTTCAGGGATTTTTGAAAGCAAAAATCAAATCTTCATTTTTAATCGTGGTACTTTTATGGCAGCTTCTCCAACTTCTTTTGATATATCTATTCCTAGAGGACATCTGCATGATAATCAGATGAATAACATTATTTCAAATATTTGCTTCCTGATTTTTCACTAGTCTACAGACTACTTGCTCAGAATTCTAACAAATAATATGTGTATCTAATTTATAATTAGTCATATGGGGTGATAATTCTTAAATACATATAAATACAATCGGACCTGAATGGATAAAGAAAGGCCAAGTTCCATTGATAAGAAATCTAAATTTGGAAATTTTTTTAACCACTTTGAGGTATATTTGACATGTAAAAAGCTATACATATTTAATATATACAACTCAGTGACTTTGGGGATTGAGATGTTTTAAAATAAATAATTCCATGGTTCTCAAATACTGTAAATAAATAAAAACTTAAAATGAAGTAGAAAGATTTTTAAAAAGTCTTTTAATTTTCTACAAAGCTAAGAAGGCAAAAACAGTTTACCAAATAGCTAAAGTCGAACCCACACCCACTTCTACTTTAGAAATTCCCCAGGTTTCTACTGATTTCTCTCTGAGGTTTCAAAATCTGGCCTGTTTCTTTTATATCTTCCTTTGTCACTGTTGGCAAGGAGGTCTTAGACCCTACCCTCTTTCTTTGTTCTTCCTTAGCAAGTAACTTTAGCTTCAGATTTCTTTTTCACTACGTTGCTCAAACTGGAAAAAGCCACCGTCTCCAGCCTCCACATTGCCCAAAGAAGACACCACTGGATCAGATGATACATTCTACCAAAAACCAGGCCATAAACATAGGGGTTTTTTCTGCCACTACTAACTAAACTCAGTTCATTTATAATCAGCCATAAGAGGCTGTCGTTCACGTAGCTACAGGTATGGACTACAATGCTAAAAAGTTTTAAAAACATTAAATGAACCCATGTTGAAAACAGAATTATGTCAGATTATAAAACATAATCATCTTTCATTATTTTTAGTGTTCTTGAATTAACTTAGAGCAGAACTTGATAACAAATTGAGTAGCTGTGCTATTCTTTGGAAGTTTGACTTGGGACATAAACTAACACCTGCAGAAAATAGCTATCTTTTGGCCATTTCTCAGTTTGCACGTAGAAGAGCATATTCACAGCCCAGTCTCACACGTGAACACTTTTTGCACGTTTTCCTTGTTTCCCAGCAAACTAGCTGGTTCTGATGTAATATAGATGGTCTTGATATTGTAAAAGTCAGGCCATTGACATGGTTTCCATTCTGATTCCAAATGAAATTCATTACTTTATTATTCTCACTTTATAACATTTCTCACTTAGGATTTGTCACATTTTTTATAATTTGAAATTGCAGCAAAAATATTTCTTATAATGTATCTATTTCCTAGGCTCATGACACAAATGAATGTAAGCAGAATGTCAATGAAAACCTCATATATAAAGGCAACAACAAGGCTTTGACTTTTATAATGCAACTTGCATAAAGATATAAATGGTACTACATACTTTGGTTCATAACGGATGCCTTCTGTGTCGTATAAAACGCCCAAGCCAGCACGCAATCTTTCAATACCATTCCTAAAGAAGAATCATTGAAACAAAGTAAATAACCCAAAACTTAAAGCATGAAATAATGGCAATTAATACTTACATAATAACGAGGGAAGCACATATGTCTCATGGCTTACCATGCAATCATAACACCATTGTCAGTGCACAGTCTGGGCGGAGGACACAACAAAGTGCACTGTGTGGCATTTGTTACAATTTCCAGAGCTTTTCGAATATATAAGTTACTTGCAACTCCTCCAGACACAACCTGAAGTAATTGGGCAGACCAAAATTAACAAATATTACATATGGAAATGAACCAAGCTGTTATCTAAACTTGGGGGAAAACAGCAATGTTATACAATAAAAAGATCACATTTTGATAGATGGATAATGAGCAATTAATATATCTGTACAATAAAAATTTGGAGAGTAAAAAATATCACCAAAAATTATCAACCTATAATCACTCCTATCCTTTTTGTATTTTTAATTCTAACCTTTTTCTAATTACAATCATAGTACAATAATTTAGACCCTGAGGTTTTTACTTATAAGCCTTTTTCTTTTTTAACTCATAATTCTTAAAAAACTGTCATCTTTGATATTCCATTTTGTGAATCTACCGTCATTTAAACATCGTTTCACTTTATAATTTTCAAAACAATGAAGTTTAAGATACAGTTAAACAAGAAGTTTATCAAGGCTTTAAACACATTAAAGGGGTTTCATCAAAGGAACATAAATTTTAAGGAAATCAGCCTATTTGTCTAAAATTAATGACACCAGTTACTGCATTTCACTTCTTACTGTAAACTCCCTTTTAAATTCAATGAGAAGATGCAACCTTGGACTGTTTTGCCACATAGTCTGTACGTATACCATAAAACTGCCATACCTGTACAGATATGGATGTCAGCTTTATTTCATATCTCATATTGTCAGGGCTAGTGTTTGGCATAAAGGCCTTTTCATCCTCTGCACAGGGTCAATTAAGCTCTTGGAAAACAAGTGTCTTACAGTGAAGTGTTACTACAATTCCAAAATGAGATGAGAAAACTTACCAGTACTGCATTACTTTGAGATAACAAGTTTCTCTGCTTGCAAAACAGAATAGCACGATGTGTTCTTTTTGCAATGTGACATGCTGTGGTGTGCTGCACTGCAGCAGCAATGTCGGCAGCTGAGGACAGAAGTTGCCCCTTCTCAATACCTGCAGAAACGAGCAGGCATTTTTAGGCAAAACCCAGGATTACTTATCTGTCTAGCTTTACTAATTAGAAATATACCTTCCTCTTTTTCCTTTTGCATTATTGTTTTATCTATAACATGTTGAAGTCCAGAAAAAGAAAAATCGCAATTTTTCGCACGTTGCATGGGAGGTTTGAAATCAAAATGCAGTTTATTTCCTTGATTAGCCAAATGTTCTATAGCCTTCCCACCACTCATGGTGGAGCACTCTGGGTGTTTTATTAAAGAAAGTCTTCTTGCTACCTATCAAAAACAAAAATTTTATAGTGAGTCATAATTGCACATTTTGAAACCAAAATGCAAACGAAATGAAAACCATACAAAAACCTGGATGAATAAGACATGCTATACTTTTACTTCTGACAGTCTGGTCAATAGCGGCCGATCATTGCCTCCTTCTTTACTTTTGCTCTTATACTGGGTATGGAAAATAGATTTGAAGTTAACAATGGCCCCTCAGTGCTCAAATTCAAATTTCAAAAATAAGAACTTCAAAAATGAAATGAGTTCTCATTTATTCCAATCATGTCAATTGTTGGCAGCAGGATTCTTTGAATGGCATTAGGATTCTAAATCCTAGGATCCTAAAACAAAGGAAAAAGGAATCTGCTTGGTGGTCACGTCAACAATTGTGACGTTTAACCATAGAGCTTTCTGTATCTTTAGCATCCTTATCTTTATATATCCTCATTTTTCATATTTTTATACTTTACACTTCACAAAATACTTCCTTGCACATACATTCTCCTAGCTGATTAAAAACATAACTGTATTTGCAAACTATTTGAGCCCTTATGTGTTAATATAATCTTCTTACCATTTTATTTGGAATGGATATGAAAGAATCTTTTGTAAACTAGGCACTACTTTTTCTTTGTCTTACTTCATATACATTTTTCAGTCTAATATTACATCATTCAGAAATATTTAGATGAATGGTACCAGTGCAGCTATTACTATTTAACTGAAACTGACACCTTAACAAAAAAGAATGGAGAAATTAATTCTTAATTACCTTGTCAAGCATGTCACCCGGTGCTATGTCCAAAGACTTTCCAAGAAGAAGAAAATCTGTAACTCCTCTAACTAATGCCAACAGACAATGGCCTCCAGAAATCAAAAGAACTAAAAAAGGAAATTCTACTTTATTTGTCAGCCTAATAGTAAGTGCATGAGCTTCCATGTGATGAATGGGAATAAAGGGCTTTTTCAACTGATCAACCAGCTGTAAGCTAAATGATAAGCCCACTCCCAAGCTTAAAGCAAGTCCTGGTTTTATGGTAGTTGCAATTGCTGAGAGTTCACTTGGACTGACTTTACTGACAGAGAGAGCTTCTTGTACTATTCGTTGAATATTTTCTCTGTGAAGCTGTTGAGCTACCGGAGGAATAATCCCACCTGTTCTGAAAGAAATTATTAAAAAGCTTTTTATAATTTTAAGATTGTATAATAGGAAGAAAAATTATATATTATAGCTGAAGACGTTTTTAAATTAATCATTACATAGCTAAAAATATTAGTTAAGTATTTTCAAACATGTGTCTTATAATGCAGCACACTATAAGAACTCAGTATGTAGTGATTAAGGGTGTAGTATCTATTTAAAATTGTGCACAGCAAACTCCTACAGATTTGTTTGTTGATGAAGGAAATAACCAAGATAACCTTGAGGGGCATTCTAAGCAAGAAATTTGAACACAGAAAGGAGAGAATAAAATTGGATTTTAGGAAAATTAATCTCTCTGCAGTAGTAAGATTTTAAAGACTTAAAGTTATTGCAAAAGTGTATGGTGATTCTATCTTAAACTGGGTGATTGTGGGAATAAAAAGAAAGGGAGACAGAGTCTAGAAAACTATAATAATTATTGGATATAAGGGGAAGGGAGTCCAAAGCATCAAAGATGATTCAGATACTGAGCTGGAATGACTTGGAATACAGAAATACTAAGAGAAACATGAAGAGTTTTGTAAAGAAAGATAAATTTATTTTTAAATACTCTGCACTTGAAGTCATGGCAGAACTGTAGTAGACAGCTTGCAATGCGGAAATAAAGTTTGTGCTCAGTGTCGGTAATTTTGATTTTTGGTCCATGTAGGACAGGCAGTGGGTGCTCACTCCAAATGTCAAGAATAAAGAATTAGGAGGTAAAGTTGCTAATAAACTGCCAGCATGTGATAGAGAAGCAGAGCAATAAAATACACGGTCTGCAACAAGCACCTCAATTCTCAAAAAAACACTTCAAGTATTTGTTGTTGAAGATCTGCTAGTTCTCTACACAGAAGTTACAATCCTCAGTAAGAGCATGCAATGAATATTTATTTAACATAGTTGACCCTTGAACAATGCAGGGGTTAGGGGCGCCAACCTCCATGAAGTCAAAAAGCTATGCATAACTTTGATTCCCCCAAAACTTTACTACTAATACCCTTCTGTTGGCAACCTTACTAGTAACATGAACAGTTAATTAACACATATTATGCATATGTATTATATACCTTAAGTAAGCTAGAGAGAAAAAAGTTATTAAAAATAATAAGGAAACTACATTTATAGTACTGTACTGTATTTATGATACAATGAGTTTGTCATCTGTTCACAAGATGAACCCATCTATCATTACCTACATCAATATTGTCTTGTACAACACAAAACATTGTAGATTCATACATATTATACTAATATTAGACATCAAAAATGAAAAGATAATATAAACAATTCACATTTATTTACAGGTATAATGATTCATGCATTAATAACAAAGCAGCAGCAATGTGATTGCTTTATGGTATAATATAAGCGATATGATTGCTTCACAGTAGCCTACCCTATAATAATAAATGGTTATAAAGTTTTTATGGCATGCAGTACTATAGTTATATTCATTGTTACAGTATTGAAAACATTGTTACATTTTAAAAAAACTTGCCTGTGATGATTGGTTGATACGCAGTTCCTCCAGTTATAAGAGAGGGGCATACTGTACAATAATGTAATTCTTTGAAAGCTAAATTATACAACAGTAAGAAAACTAACATTATTCAGTTTATATTAAATATCACTCACCTTACACCTAAGTAAGGACAGGCTATCCACTTGAATATAAGTCTTGCACATGATGTTCTACATGATGAATACTTAGGTGATGATGATGATACAGAGAAGTCAAATACATTTTTGGCCTACAGTTATTAGATTTTCACATGAAGACATACATATACTACAGATAAGTTTATTAACTATACAGCATGATTATTTACTATTCATTAAATGGAAGTGGGTCATTGTAAAGGTCTTTATCCTCATTGTCTTCACATTGAATAGGCTGAGAAGGAGGAGGAAGAGGGGTTGGTCTTACTGTCTCGGAGGCGGCAGAGGCAGATGAGGAGGAGGAGGTGGAAGCGGGGGTGAGAGAGGCAGACACATTTGATGTAATCAAATTATGGAAATACTTCATCACTTCCGCCTGTCTTTTTCCTTTTTCATTTCTTTAAAAATATTTCTATAAGTACCAATCCTTCTTCCACTGTTGTCTTTAGTTTCAGCGCCCATATCGTATAAGAGTCCGTCATAAAAGAAGTCAAAAGCAGTCTTGAATAATTGGAACCCTTCTGCCAGATTATCTAATGTCAATGTATTTTCTGTCACTGCTTCTTCTACATCTTCTTCATTATCTGGCACTGGTTTGGAAGCACTCATCTCCATCAAGTTGTTGTTTGTTAATTCCTCTGGTGTGGTGTCTATTAGCTCGTGATTTTCTCCCAAAATCCGTATTTTGAAACTCCTCACCCCCACCTTTCTTGCTATATCCACAAACTCTTTCATGACTTCCTTGATTGGCCATCATAAATCCTATGAGGTCATGGACAACATCTGGATACAGTTTTCTCCAGCAGGAATTTATTGTTTTTGAGCTTGATGGCTGTCACAGCTTTTTCTATAGCAATGGCATTTTCAATGGTGCAGTCCTTTCAGACTTTCACGAGGTTCTCTTCCATAGAGTTGACAATCCTTTCCTTAGGGTACAGTGTGTAATAAGACTTAAAGGTCCTAATGACCCCCTGATCTATGCACTGAATTAGAGATGTAGTATTTGGAGGCAAACAGACCATTTTGATGCCTTTAGCATTAAAATCATAGGTTTCTGGGTGGCCAGGAGCATTGCTCAATATCAAAAGAACTTTAAAGACAGTACCTTACTGGCAGTGTACTTTCTGACTTCAGGGACAAAGCATGGATGGAACCAATCCAGAAAAAGGATTCTCATTGTCCAGGCCTCCTTACTGTCATACAATCAAAAGACTGATGTTTTATCTTATCCCTTCAAGGCTTAGGGGTTAGCAGCTTTATAGATAAAGTTAGTCCTGATCATAAATCCAACTGCATTTGCACAAAACTGCAGAGTTAAGCCTAACCCCTCCTGCCTTAAATCCTGGTGCTCACTTCTCTTCCTAATAAATGTCCTTTGTGGCATTTTGCTTTTCCAGAATAGGGTACTTCTGTCTGCATTAAAAACCGGTTCATGTAGATATCTTTTCTCCTCAATGATTTCCTTAACATCTGGGAACTCATGTGCTGCCTCTTGGTCAAAAGAAGCTGCTCCACCTGCCATGTTGACATTAAGCCAAAACTCTTTCTAAAATTATCAAATCATCAATTGCTGGCATTACATTCTCCAGCTTCAGATGCTTCATCTTCATTTTACTTTGTCATATAATGACTTTGCTTTTTTTATAGGTATGCCTTTCTTATAGCAATCCTGCACCCACATAAAAGCTGCATTTTCTTTCTTTTTTTAAAGACACATTTATTCAGCGTCATGATCAGACTATTACATTTAGCAATCAACAGCATGGGTGCAAAAAAAAAAAAGAATAAAGAAAAACTACATTAAAAACCCTTTGTTGGAATGCCTTACACTTCCCACAGAACAGAAACTAAAATAACCTGTTATACAATTAGTCACAAATACAGTCCTCGAGTTTTTTGCCCATTCTCATGAGTATTGTCTAAAACATGTCTTCTTTGTAGCAGCTAGGTCCTGCCACCACTGTGCTTGGCTGAATTCACAAATCCGTTGTAACCTGTAGCTTCTCTGTCACTTCTCTGGCTCTCCTCTCCTGCTAAGCTTTGTTTCCTGGCAGCAATTAAAACCTTCTGCCACTGCCATAGCTACTGCTGCTGCTGGAACCGCCATAGCCACCTTGATTTCGTGGTTTGGCAAAGTATTGGCCTCCACCACCATAGGGGCCAGAAAAGCTGCATTTTCAATACGAGATAAAAAAAAAAGTACTTCCTAAGACATGCAAAATCTTCACAATTGCTGACATAGCTGCAGCAATACCTTCATGATTTTTTTTTTTAAACAATGGCCCTTACACTGGATTCATTTACTTTCAAATGGAGAGTATATCTAGATACATATCAAGCAATCCATCTTTTTCTTGTAACGCTGTATCTTTTCTCTGCTTGGTATGCATCCCATGGTGTTATTCAAGGTTTATGGTACTGCACGAAACACAATGGAAACTGCACAAAACCCCAAGTAGATCACTTTCTACTGTGATACGCAATTTACTGGATAGATGAACTGCTTGTGTAGAGGTATTAGAGTCAAAAAGCACTTGCAGCAGATTAACTCGCAACACTTGAGCTCACTGCAATGGCAACAGGCCATGGCTACAAAACTATTATAGTAGTACAGTATGTACTACAGTTAATCTTATGCAGTTATGATTTACTACTTCATCTTTATGTTTGTTTACATTTCTCCTAACTGCAAATGGCACTGTGTATGGTCTACAAGTATATTAATAAGTTTTGATAAAATTTAACTTTCTATAATAGATTTGTGTGTATTTTATGGTAGTAAATGATAAAATAGATTAGTATCGACATATATTTTATGCATTCATGACATATTATCTTTTTCTTATTTTTTTCAATATTTCTAGGCTACCCAGTCCATTTGCAAGTTTTTTCCAACTGTCACAAATCTCCAAAAATATTTTCCAATATATTTACTGAAAAAATAACTATGCATAAGTGGACCTACACAATTCAAACCCGTGTTGTTCAAGGGTCAACTGTATATCATATCTCAGAGATCAGGATAAGCCTCTTGAAGCCTAGGACTTCCTAGGACTCTACTTCACTGTGCCTTACTAACACCTACCAGTCCCTTTCACATATTATGTAACCATTAGAGGCCTATTCTGCCTTTTCACATATATTCTTTTTAATTATAATAGTCTATATTATTTCTATTATATTTACCACAATCCTATATGGCAGGTATCTTTCCCACTTTATGGATATGAAAACAGAATCAGAGAGGATAAAGAACTTGCCTAAAGTCAGCCAATACCAGATGCCTAATTCATGATTCAAATACAGGTGTGTGATCTCAAAATACCAAACCTTTTTCCACTATTCATGTTTTAAGTTGATGGCTTCAAGGCATTTTTGATACACAGTGCTTCAACATATTTTGAATTAGCTACTAATTTAAAAAATCTGGAGGTACTAGAGTAACATTCTGGATTTCCATTTTCTCTTGAAAATTCTGATGATCCAATAATATAGGGTCTATATTCCTGCATGGCAATAATTGGCTGGAGCTGAGTACTGACTCCCTCCAGATATTTTCTACTTTATATCCAGCCCGCTTATTTATATAGCTTGCCTGGTGGTCCTCTGGAAACACCTTAGTTTATAAAACTTGCCCCATTCTGTGTTTTAATACAATAATATATTATTCTTATAGTACCAGGATGAGTTATGTATATAAATGTCAACAGGATTTTTTCTTTTCAGGGATTAACACAGGCTAGAGGTCAAGTCAGACTTTCCTAAGATTTCAGTTCAGAACATGAAACATACAGGTAAACAAAAGAGGAAGGGCATTACTGAGGGGAAATCATGGATAAATACTGGTGTTGGGAATGAGCTTAGTTTCTTTTTGTGAACAGGATTAGCTAAGGTTTGAACCTTATTGTGGAGAGCCTTAAAAGCCAGGTTGAGGAGTTTAAGATTTTATTATAATAGCAGATATTAGAAGCTTTTGTACAAAAGAAGAAATTAGCTCCTAAAATTGTTTATATATAAATACAAAAGAATTATTTCATTTTACTTTTTCCCCAAAAAAAGTGAAAACTACCAAGATAATATCTACTTACTTCAAGTGAACTTCAGTTTGGGAATGTATTGCTTCTCCCAAAACGTTTCCAGTTTCATCCACCACAGCAGCTGCTGTATCATCACAACTGGTTTCAATTCCCAAAACTAGTTTATGAAGAAATGCTTTTCCAGGATGAAAATTAAAACTCCTTATATATTCACAAATTTTCCTTTTTGATGTTTTAGAAATAACTCCGGCTATCTTATTCAATATTAGCATACTTATTCTATAGATAATTCCTGGAAAAGAATTAAAGAAACAAGCTAAATATTACTTGGAAAGGACATGAGCCACTAGTCCATTTAATTTAGCAAAATTCTGAAAGCTTGGTTTATATTTCAATATAGAGTTTTATAAAATTACAGGAAAGTTTTGTAAAAGTCGGCATAAATCTTTAAAGACTGTAGCAACATGTTATGTAATTATATAATTTATATAATATAAAGAACAGTATGAATGAATATAATGGTCTTCAAAGGGGAAAACAGAACATGAGATATAAATTTTTTTTTGTATTACTATTATTTTCATGCTGTTCTTACCAAACCACTCGTTATTCATTATAAAACAGCTACTATTACAGTTCAATAGCTGCATGGAATAGTCCTCTGAAAAGTCTTATTTATTTTTTGACAGCTAACATTAAGGCAAAACGAAAGTAAAAATAAATGCATTCCATTTCCGGGAAACATTATTCAAAATAAAATTTAATCATTTCGTTGGAAAACAGAGTACACACAAAACACACGCAAAATAAGATTTAGTCATCCAGTTTAGAAACAAGTGTTTTCGTAAAGCTCATCTTAAATGAACCACATCTCAACTACGGAGACTGCAACCTCCTACCTATTTTATCCATTAATCACAATTTTTCGAATTAAATCTACCTTTTTGCCACAGCTTTATCACAACAGAGATCTCCCCAAATCCTATTTTTTTTTCCCAAAATAACAGCAGTCCATCACTAAAGCCCCCTGGTATTTCCACACTGCCAAGTATCTAGTTTCATGCTCCCAAATCACTTGTTCTAAAACTTGTTGGGTGTTTACTAGGTAGGCTCTTTCCCTACCACACTACTGACAGCATGGAAAAAAGAGTGAATAAATATTGAAACTTTTATTCTTCCACTGGGACAGAGGGCACCCAGGGTCTGAATATGATCGACCTATTATTCACAGCGAACAGCTGCGGAGAGGGGTGCCCAGACAGACACACCCTGAGAAATTAGATTTGCAATCACTAAATCCAGGCAGGGCAACTTGTGCCAAGCACAGTACTTCTCTTTTGGGTCAAGAAGGCTCCCAAGTGCACCCAGAAGACCTGGCCAGCACTATCTGTTGTAAGAAGGCGAGGGACTCAGTCTGGAACGGCTTTCCCAGGCGTGCAAAAGCATCAGCAGGGAGAGGTGAGCATTCACCCACCTCTCCGCTGTACAACAGAAGCTGGTTCTCCTTTCTGTTCCCGGTAACAACGGTGCACTGCCCTTTCTCAGGCTCTATGAAGCCCGACCTTGGCGCTCCGGAAGTGACGTCATCAATACGCGTATCGTTGTCAGGTCAACTGCAATTGCCCTGGAGAGTGTCACTCTTCAGAGTAAATATACGCGAAAAACTTGTCTTTGCTCAAGACACTGGGACTGCGCTACTGCATCTTCTCCCAGATTTCTAGGCAACGAGACTTCTCTGTAAGGTCACAGGGCTAGTGAGTGATCTAGCGGAGGCCGAACGCAGATTTGTCCGACTACACACCATTAAATTCTGAACATTGTGCTACATTAAAAGAAAAAATACTTATTTGGCTGTATTTCGTACGCCACTATGAGAAAATGATTGGTAGTTTGTTCGTTATTCTGTCTTGGAGGAACTCGCACCAAAATTAAAGGTGTAGCCTGAGATAGCTAATATTTTTAGAGACAATAGAAACCCGGGGCCCCCATAAAGGTTTGAACAAGTCTCCCAGAGAACGGAAGCGTTTCCGGTCGGACAGTTAACCGTTACTCCCATTTCACTTGAAGTAATAGGTGTGGGGCTGGTTCGTTTTTCTGAGAAAAAATAAAACGGGGGTTGCGGTAAATATTCACTTAATTTAAAAAATTTAATACCCTATCTTCGCAATACATTATGTGGTCTTTGCCTACTGTGTACACAGCTTCAGCATGTCTTCATATCCTTGCACCTCCTTCACTTTTTTTTTTTTTTTTTTGCTTTGATTGGTATGTGAGCTTATTACCATTTGTTTGAATAGAATTATCCCAAGAGAGTTTCTTCTTCCTTGCTAAGCAAAGACCTTATAAATACAAGGTTGGCTGAGCTGGCACACATCCTTGTGCTTTGCAGTGAGAAGTTCTTGGTAGAAAGAAGATGAATAAATCACAGTCAGGAAGTCACAGTTATAGGTTAGTGGTAGATACAGATATGTAAATTCCTAATTACCAGAATGTTTGGAAAGTTATTTGTGTAACTTATGTTTTCCAATATTTTCATTTACCCTTGGCAGGAAGAATCATAATTAACAATAAAGTGTCACTGTGTGCCAGACACTGTTGTAGATTAATTTATTTAACTCTCCCATGAGGTAGTTACTGTCTTCATTTTACACAAGGCAACTGGTTCATGGAACTTGGGTGATGTTCAGGTCATACACCTAGTAAGTGCAGAGCTGGTATTAGAAGTCAGGCCATCTGCCTCTGGAGTCTGTTTTCTTAACTGCCAGAAGATAAAGTAACTCATATTATCCCTATGCTGCATTGTTGACTCAAAAGAAGGGGAAAAAATTAAGACCTACAGGTTAAAAAAAAAAATTGGTCATCCTGTCCAATTGGATAAAATAGTTCAGAGGTGGTTTTCTATTATGCACTGGAATCTAGCCTGAACATAAAACTTTTCGCATCTGGCATTGTTCTTGCAATTTGAAATATGCTCTGCAGGTGTGGCCTAATGGTCTCCTGTGCTTCCAAGAGTTATCCTTGTTGTATGTGCTAGCATCATTGGTAGATTCCTCATCTAGGCACCTTTGGCTGGTGTTGAGTTTGCTACATCATGTGAAACAGCAGAACTCTAGGACACATTAGAAAGGAATTTTATTCTTTTGATTGCATGTTAGTAGAAAGAAATGGCACTTTACCAGTCCCATATATTTGGCGAGTGAAGGTATCCATCTTCCACGTTCTTTATTGTACTACAGATGTTATTGGGGGGAAGCATACTGAGACCTTTCTAGGCTTTCATCAGACCACAATGTGGTTTGAGTGGCACCCATGGCATTCTCAATGAAATGTGGCTTAACCACTGTAACTTGAGCTTGAATTGAGTTCCAAACGAATCTAAGTACACCTGTTTTGCTTCTGCTGTTGTTTACATTTGCAAACTTCAGAGGAAAGTTATATACAGAAGAATCTTTACAATACTCATTTCCTAATTATGTCTTACTAAGTCGGATTTTATCATATATGTATTGGATTCCTCCCTTTGGGTTAGGAAGTTTATTAGTTGTTAGAGATAAAATACCCATTCTCTATCTTCATTTAACCAAGTCTAGTAAGAGATAATTGCAATACAGCATTTTGGAAAGTGTACACTGGAAAAGTTGCTTGGGGAAGGTGGTGTAGCTTGCCTAGCAGGACATTGGTGTGATTATTGAGTTTCAACATGATTCTTATCTAGGCTTGAAATTGGTTTATCAGAAGTGACTGGACTATGGAATACTTAGTCACACATTCAATTGGCTAATGAACTATGTAAAAACCATTATACTAATGTACTAATTGCTGAGAAATGCAACAATGACTGAATTACAATAGTTGAACTTGCTGGTCCTCACACCTGTGTTGACCAAATTACAATGGAACAGAGATGAGTTTGGTGCTTTTAATGGCTAATGTTTTGAGCTTGATGCACCCCTTCCCAGTTGAGTCACATACTTCTCTTACCTTCTTCATAGGTGGATTATGCTAGAAATACACTGATTGCTTCTCTCCTCTTTTTAGTTTCTTTGCTAACAAATATCTGATATGAAACATTCTTTCATTAATGGTAACACTGTCTATAAGATCTCACCTCTGGAAGATGTCTTTTTATTTTGTTTGCTGAGCCATTATGCTTATTTTACAAATTTACCCTTAGATGATTTTAACCATTTTTAGGTATACAGTTCAATGGTATTAAGTACATTTATATTGTGCAGTCTTCACTATCATATTACCATCCATCTCCAAAACTTTTCATCTTCCCTAACTCTATATCCATTAAACACTAGTTCTCCATTTCCCTCCCCTGCCCCTGCCTATGGCAGCCGCCATTCTGTCTGTCTTTATGACTTAGACCGCTGTAGGTATTTCACGTAAGCAGGATCACACAATGTGTTCTTTTGTGACTGGCTTATTTCTCTCAGCATTGACATCTAGGTTCATCCGATGTTGTAGTATGTGTCAGAATTTCCATCCTTTTAAAGGCGAATAATATTCTACTGTGATAGATACCTCATTTTGTTTATCCAGGCATCTTTCTATGGATACTTGCGTTGCTTCCACCTCTGACTACTGTGAATAATGCTATAAACATGAGTTGTACAAGTATCTTTTCAAATCCCTGCTTTCCCTTGTTTTGCACATCTACCCAGAAGTGGAATTGCTGTATCATGGGGTGATTCTGTTTAATTTTCTGAGGAATTACCATACTCAGATGATCTTATTTTTCAATATGTGCAGGGTCCATGTGTTTTTGGCACAGGAGGGAGAGGGTAAATCTCTTTGTTACTCCCATATGCTTCCTATGATTCTTAGTGCCAGGACAGAAGTATATGGTTTAGTAATTCATTGGAGGGCCAAATGTTTCAAAGCAGGATCACTATATAAGGTTTTCATGCAGTGGTGGTATACTGGTATCTTCTTGGGCAATAGCTAATTAAACCATTTGGCTTCTCTGTTCCCATTTTAAAAAACTGTAAAACGAAGAAAGTAATGCATGCTTATCTTTTTGATAATATAGTCAACATAAATACAGAAGTTTTGCAAAACCTGGAGGTTTTTCAAAGTATCATTGATAAAAATTTATAACCATATAATTATAATTGGAAAGTCAGGAAATTTATATATTATAAAATTCCTCTTATTTTTATATTTTAAAGAGTTCATTCTACAGTATTAATGTTTTTTTGTTCTTGTGTTTGAGAAGAATTTTTTACAACATAATTATACAGTTAGAGTGAAAGCACACAGTGATAAACTTGGCATATTTGCTAAACTTAAAATTATATAAATCTTTAGAGTTACAGGTTGAGTCACTTACACAACCATTAGCTGCTTATCATGGGCTTGAATGAACCAACAATGGAATAAATTACACTGCTATACTGAACATAAAATTCAAATATTTTTACTAAGCTATTTTTAAATTATGAACTATTCCAGATTATGAAAAAGTATTAAGAATAAAATAACCAACTTTGGTGAATCCAACACCCAATTTAAGAGCTAAAATATAACCAAATACAGTTGAATTGTGTGTTGTATACCCAAGATATTCAGTATTCTAAATTTGATGTTTATAATTCTCAGGTGTTTATTTGTAACTAAATGAGAAAATTTAAACACCATTTACCAAACTATCTGTTGAAGAATTTTTTTTAACTGAAACTGAAATTAGAGAGTAAAATAAAAACCATCTATATCTCACTTTTGACATCAAACAAAATGGAGTTAATCTTTGCTATAGTCTTGCCTACTTCCCCCTTCCCTGCCCAATGCTATTCCAAACTTCCTTTTAAGAGTATTTTACCTAGACCAGTCTTCCCAGCACTGAACATGTTAACACTTATCACATGAACATGTCATATCTATGTAATTATTTCAGTAATTACTCATTTATTTATTGTTAGATTATTAAATTGTATTGGTGTATACAGGGTTGCTGCATTTGTCTTCTTCAAATTAGCACAATGGTATCTGGGATCATATTTACTGGTGACATATATTAATATAGGAGACATAATGTAGGAGAAATATATTGCATGACAATCAAAGTTTAACTTGAGCTACACAAGATGAATCAATAAGCTAAAAATCTAAAAAGATGAGGTTCTAGAGTTAAAATAGAAAACATTAGACTTTGGTTCTTTATTAAATAAGTACTTGAAAGGAAAACCATTATTTAATAGTATTACATGTTGAAGACTTGAGGCTTTAGTAACTGTAAAGTAAATTAGTGAAAGTGGCTTTCAAAATAGCTAAAATGATGTTAGGCTGCATTTTAAAAAAGTATGGATATACCTGGAGAACACTACACGAAGCGAAATAAGCCAGTCAGAGTAAGGCAAATGCCATATGATTTCACTCATATGTGGAATCTAATGAACAAACTGAACTAACAAGCAAAACAGAGACTCACAAAGAGCAGGATGACAGCTAAGGGGAGGTTAGGGGGTGGAGAAATTGAGCAAAAAAAGGAAAAAGGACACATGGACAACAGTGTGGTGATTGTGTGGGTGGGGGAGGGGAGTATAAGGAGACTAAATGGTAATGGAAAAAAATACAATAAAATTTTTCTTACAAAAACAAGGGAAGTGGTCCTATTGTAGTGACATCAAATCTTAGGACTCTTGCAGTTAGCACTAGTGCTTACTAATGAACTCAGAGCAGAATTACCAGGACAGTGGGAGAAATCTGAAACCATACCATATGGAAAATGGTGAAGGTTATGCCAATGTTTGTTCAGTGCTATTGATAAACATTTAAAAGTTAAATATTTGAGTTATATAGAATATATAGTTATATATAAAATAAGGGTTATATTATGGTTCAGTGTAAAAGAAGTTATAAATTCCATTACAAAAATACAGCCTGGTAAGTTGTAAGTCCTCCTTTACCAGCACTAACCCAGAACTGAAGGGTGGCAAGGTAGGAGGTTGAATTACATAGTCTCTAACCTCTCTTTAAACTCTTAGCAGCATATAGCTGTATGAGGCTAATTAACAGATATTAGTTAGAAATATTGTTATTCCCCTTCAGATCTTTATAGTGTAGTAGACAATAGTGCCGTAAGCCTAAAAAATAGAGCTCAAGGTTTAAAAAAGAAAAAAAAGAATGGGAAGGCAAAAGGACAGAGGAACCAACATGGAAAGTTCTATTGGGAACTTTGGCTCCTAAGGCCAAAGCTGGAAGACAATTTGAGCAACAAATTGATTAATGATAACAACAGATTATAAACCAAAGAATAAAATATCCATGAGTCCATAACATAATTAATTGAATAAATAAAAGGGGAAAATCTTCTTACAAAAGAATTCCAATAAATAAATGTAGGAGTAAGGAAAATAGAAAGCTGGTACTGGAACTTCGTATTTGCTGTAGGAATGATTCACCAATAAATGCTAAAATTAATGGCATTTCTGAGCTCATGCCTATTTAGAAATTGTCATTATATCTCCTGACTTTAAATTAGAAGCAATTACAGCATAACAATTATATGGAACAATGCTTTTGTTCCAAATAGTAGTCATTATAGATTGTTGAAGTTTTTTTACATTAAACAATACCAACTTAAGAAATTGATAAGAGTTTTCATATTTAACACAATCATTCACCTAAGTGTTAAGGCCAAAAAACTAGGGGTTATTTTAGTTTCTTCCCTGCATCCTGTATTCAACACACCACTGTCTTATGAGCTGTATTTGCAAAGTACAGCCCAAATCTGATGACTACTCACTGCTTCATCAGAGCCATTTCCCTAGTCTGAGGTACTGTACTTTACACCAGTAGTAACTTCCCAACTATTCTTCCTGCTTATTTCCTTATAGTTCATTCTCAACATTAGCCCTAACCTTAAAGAATAAAGAAAAAATCGGATCCCTATAATCTGTGCAAAACTCTCCAATGGCTTTCTCACACTTAGCAAAAAATTTGCTCATTACTGTGGTCTATAAAGCCCTATATGATCTGACTCCTACATAATTCTCTGACCTCATTTACTACCATTCTCATCCTCATCACTCCTTTCTAGCTCCAGTGGCTGTCTTGTTTTTCCTCAAGCATACCACCCTCATTTATACTAGGAGGCCTCTCTTCCCAGATCTATGTCCATTAGTAAGGTCACCTTAGTTAGGATCTATAAGGAAGTCCTTTCTGAAGTAGGCTTCCCTGCCTTTCACTTGCTTAATTCTCCCCCAACACCTAGGGCATTTATTACTACATGAAATAGTATGTATTTATTTACTCATTTATTATCTATTCTCCAACTTGAATGTAAGCACATAAGAGATAGAACTTGTTTTGTTTATGAACTGTACCCATAATACCTAAAACAATACCTACAACAAAGTGGGCTCTCAAATATCTATTGAATAAATGTATTTAAAAAACTGAAGGGCAAAAATGGGAAAAGTAGCAGAAGGTCTAAATTACAGCCAGATTTCTATCTCTGAAGTATGTACTAAAAAAATGTAAGCCTTTTGAAATAAACTTTAAAAATGAAAGCAAAGAAACATTTTTAACTATCTTAAATTTTTACAAATTCAGTTCTTAAAAAACCCTTGAAAAATAAAAGTGCAACATTGATGACTGAATTTGGAGAGATTTTGCAATAATCCTACAACCAAAAGAAATTTTATTGAAGTATAGATTACTGGTTATTTAAAAATACATGGGAAAAGACAAAAATACAAAGAAATTATCATACAACTGATTTCTAAAGTCAATATTCTTGAAATACAAAACAATGATCCTTACCCCCAAAAGTCAGTTTATTGAAACAAATTGATTTTTAAGTTGGTCTATAACTCTTTCTCACTCAATTTTGTTTACAAATGTTACTGGGTTTTTTTTCAGTTTCATCCCATATCAGAATTATGGTTTTTGGACATATTTACTTCTCAAAGTTGTATATATTTATTTCTTGTAACTAATTGCAGCAACTATAGGAAGTTTCTCTAAGTGACAAGAATTCAGTATGGTCGCTGCTCTGGAAATAGTTACCATATTGAGTTATCTACACAAAGATTCATGTATTTAAAGTCAAAATATTATTGAGTAAAGTATGAAGACTGAGAGCAGGAGGACTAAGAAAAGATGCTGTTATCTTGTACTGCAGATCTGCTAAAAAAGACTTCATTGATTTACTTTGGTACTATTGCCAAAGAAGCAGTTGCTACCAGACCACAGGTTGGCTAAATAGTTATCCATTTTATATTTACTTTTCTAGAGAATGGCAAACTTTAATAATTAGATGGCTCAATCAAAGAAACAGAGACTTTTAAATTACCACATACTTTAACTTGAAATAAATTATTTTCTGAAATGGTTTAGCAGTCTTGTGTCTGCAAAGGCAACAAAACCCACTTCGTTTAAAAATTAGAAGGCTGACTCAGAGGCTGTTTGTAAGATGCCTACCTATCTTCTATCACCAATCAGTCATGAAAGTGGATCTTCATAAACTCAGTAACTTCACAAATGTAAAAATGATCTTATCCATCAACACACAATGTTGAGCCAACAAAATGAAAAAAAAGTACACTCATAAGATAGAAATTGGCTTGTATAAAACAAGATGGTACATATATCTTCTTATGTAACACAAGAGAAATATGTATGGTAATAAAAGCAATCTACAATAAACTTGTAAATAGATGATTTCGATTTACATATAAGTCAGCTTAAACTAACCATTACCGAATGATTGGAAAGTTTTTTCTCCTAACCAATGCCCATTCATTATAAGCTAAGCTGGTCTTAATTTCTTATAAATCTATTTCCTTGGATTTATCTACTACACCCTCACTTCATAGACATTTAACTTATAAGCTGGGCCTTCCCATTCTGCCTATAAAGCCTCTTGTCAGAAATATACCAGATGCATTAAACACAAGCATCCTCTAGTAAAAATCTGCACTTCAAAACAGCATATGAAGAACCAGCAGTAGGCTCTCCAATGTAAATACTTCTCATTTCACACCATCATAGGAACAGTGCAGTTTACTAACCACTCCTTCATTACAAGCAACTCAGTAGCTGTAAAAACTTTTCTTCAGTTTCAAAACCTTTCAATACTTGTTAATTCCAAAGATCCGAACACCATGTAGCTGTGGCATTTTGGGAATTAGCACACTCAGGAGAGAAGCTGTATTTAGGATGAAGTGAGTTGGATCATACTTCGTATAGAAACTGGCCAGAAAATATCTGTAGAAACAGAAGTTAAGAACATATGTAACATCTAAAAATAAAATTAATTAGCATTTTTTTAAAATTTAAAAGTAGGAAAAAAGGCCACCAAAACATAAATACCTAAAGGCAGAACCATTTCTCAACACTAAAACAAAAGAAAACATTAAGTTTGAGGACCTAAATTAATTTTATTTAGAATTTAAATATTTTTTAACAGAGCCATATATGCACATTATGCACTTCTGCAATTATGTTAAATACATTTAATAGAATACGTTTGCTACTTAGCATCCTTTACAGCAGGATTTCAAACTAGGATTCATATGCTCCCTGAAATTTCAGGTGTCGTTTTGTATTTATGTGTATGCTTCTGAAGAGAAGATCCAGATCCAAAGAATATTTCATATCCTCTAAGGGTTTTGTGACCCACCAAAGGATTAAGAACTGTAAAGCTGTGGAAAATGGGGATAGTACATGAGTACAATTAGTGTCTTTGAAAGAAAACAAATACTTAATTGCCCTTTTGATAGTCTGATTTCCATTCTGTTGATAAATAGGTCTGTAATCAGGTTAACTGGAAACTTTGAAGACACTGTTGTAAAATTCCAGTTGTTTTGCTATAACTGAACATACATACATATTCAAAGACACCTAACATCTGAGAATTTGTTTTAACAAGCCTGAGCCTCTGTAAGACCATAAATCATTGAGTCAAAATGTCTAGTTTTACACAAGGGGTACATCAGAGTACAGACACATCATCTGGCCCCTAGTATAGACAGGATTTTAAAAAATAAAACATCATAACTAAGAAGTTAGATTGTATATGGTTGTTTAATTTGTATTTTTAGAGTACATAAGGAAATTATAGCTTTTCTGCTAAGTACTATCATTAGTTTCTCATAAGGGGAAGCAGGCGTAATTTAGATATGGTTAAGAAAGAAAAGCTACTTTCAAGCCTCACTAAAAATATCAGAGAGCTATATACAAAACCATTTGAATTGAGAAATTCTATAATCTTCCACTTACTTTACAAACTATATAGTCCAGAAAATTCTTTCTTGAGAATAATCCACAGTCCTTAATCTTTATTTTAAACCCTTTCTTCCTGCTTTCATATACTTCAATGAACTTAAAAGGGGATATAACTTGCATTTAATAAGCTTATTTGATTTCCCATCATTATTATGGGTTTACTCTATAATCAGATATGTTCAAAACAATAAACCTTCTAAGAATGGCTTCTCTTATCATACTGTAGCATATATTCCCATTATGTCATCTAATGAAAACTGTGTGTGTAGATTATATGAAACTATTGGACTCTTAAAAACAATGGATAACCTTCCAAGGACATGCAAAACTAAGTGGGAATCAGCATAATAGTTGTTTATTTGCGAAAGGATATACTGGAAAGAGACTATATTAGAAGCTGGAAGTTAGAGATTCGTCTGGGCTATTGACTCCAAATAGCTGCATGGTCTGGAGGAAAAAATTCACCTGAGACTGTTTCTTATCTAAAAATCTGGGATAACATTGTACGTCCCATCTACTTGATAAATAATTCTCAAACAAAAAAATGTGACAGCACTCTGAAAAGTATCAATGCTATATTGTTTTAATGCTGTTTCTTCAGTTATGTAAGGAATTTGATCAAAGAATACTTGAAGTCATACCTGTGGGTCAAAAATATATTTTTAGAAATACGGATTAAAGAATTAAATGTTAGATTCAAAACCATAAAAATCCTAGAAGACACCACAAACAGTAAAATCCCAGACATTTCTCATAGCAATATTTTTTTCTGATAAATCCCCTCAGGCAAGGGAAACAAAAGAAAAAATAAACAATTGGGACTAAATCACACTAAAAAGTTTTTCCACAGGAAACAACAAAATAAAAAGATAACCCACTAAACGGGAGAACATATTTTCCAATGATATATCTCATAAAGGGTTAATATCCAAAATGTATAAAGACCTTATAAAACTCAACACCAAGAAAACAATCCAATTAAAAAAATGGGCTAAGGATCTGAACAGGCATTTCTCCAAAGAGGACAAACAGATCATCAATAAATACATGAAAAGATGCTCAAAGTCACTAATCAACAGAGAAATGCAAATTAAAACCACAATGAGATATTACCTCACCTGTCAGAATGGCTACCATCAATAAATCAACAAACAAGTGTTGGCAAAGATGTGGAGAAAAGGGAACCCTCATGCACGGTTGGTGAGAATGCAGATTGGTGCAGCCTCTCTGGACAGCAGTATGAAATTACCTCAAAAAATTAAAAATGGAATGGCTTTATGACCCAGTGACGCCACTTCAGGGAATATATCCAAAGAAACTTTAGACACTAATTCCAAAGAATATATGCACCCCTATGTTCATCGAAACATTTACAATAGCAAAGATTTGGAAGTAGCCCAAGTGCCCATTAGCAGATGAGCAGATAAAAAAGCCGTGGTACATTTACACAATAGAATATTAGTCAGCCATAAAAAAAGGGAAATTTGCCCTGGCCGGTGTGGCTCAGTGGACTGAGCGTGAGCATGTGAACCCAAAGGTCACCAGTTTGATCCCTGGTCAGGGCATACACCTGGGTTGCAGGCCAGGTCCCAAATTGAGGCTGTACAAGAGGCAACAGCCAACTGATGTTCTCCCCCTCTCTTTCTGCCTCCCTTCTCCTCTCTCTAAAAATAAATAAATAAAATCTTTAAACAAACAAATAAGGGAGATCTTACCCTTTGTGAAAGGATGTGTGGACCTGGAGAGTGTTATGCTAAGTAAAATAAGCCAGAGAAAGACAAGCCCATATGATTTCACTCATATGTGGAATCTAATGAACAAAGTAAACTAACAAAGTCGAAAGAATCAAAGATAGAGCAGACTGACAGCTGTCGGGGGTGGGGAGAGGGGGGTCACAGGGTTGGGTGAAAAAGGTAAGGGGAGAGCAATGGGGGAAAAGGCGGGACAACTATAACTGAACAATAATTTTAAAAAATGAAGGAAGGAAGGAAGATTGTTTAGCTAGTGAAATAGGTTTTTAGGTTATGTTTGAGATCTTGCTACCTGGCATATGTTAAAAAAAAAAAAAAGGTAAAGGGATTAAGCAAAAAACAACAACAAAAAACTCTCACAGAAACAGACAACAGCATGGTAATTACCAGAGGGGAAGGGGCATGGGGAAAGTAGAAGAAGGTATAGAGCGTATAAATGGTGACGGAAGGAGAATTGTCTTTGGGTGGTGATACAATATACAGATGATATTTTATAGAATTGTACACCTGAAACCTATATAATTTTATTAACCAACATCACCCCAATAAATTCAATAAAAAAAAGAAAAAAATAGAAATATTGATGTTGTACACAGGTACATCTCAGGTGACCACTTTTGTGATAGCACTTACTGAAAATTCGTCATATGTCAGGCTTTTTTACATGTGCTATAATTAAATCCTCAACATTTTAGAGATGAGCAAGCTGAGGCTTTCAAGAAAATGGTCAAGTCACATAGCTAGAAAGCAGTACACCCAACATCCAAAATTAAGGCTGTTTGAATAACCATTATTCTTGTTACTGCATTTCTCTTTGCTGGACTATACAAGTCATTTTTCTTTTGACAACTGTTTTAATTGTTTAAAACAAAAATTTAAAAACTTCCTCAAAGTGCTATAAATACACAAAAAAGAAACCTACTACTTTATGATCAGTTTCTCCTTTTCATTTGAAAATTCCTTCCCTTACTTAAACACCTATCCAAAACCTAAGTTCCCTTTAGTCTCAGTTTAAGGAATTCTGTCTCCAAGAAGTCTTTCCAGCTACTCTACACTACATTGGTTCTACTGTGGGTACATTATGTATAAGCTACGTGGTATAGAGAGTTTGATTAAGATACATGTGAAACACCTATTACGTGTAAGCAAATATACTGTGTGAATTCAAAGCAATCTATACACTTACAAATTCTTTACAGAAATAAAACATTTATAATAACAATATAAAGTGGCATAAACAAGAGGTATATAATAACTGCTATGGGAGTTCAAAGCAGAGTATTATTGCTAAAGGTTGAGTGCTCAGGAAAAGACCTCACTGAAGGTGCAGAATTTAAATCTTCAAAGAAGGGTAAGATACAAATTGAGGAGGCATTTCAAGTAAGAAAAGTGAGGTGAACAAAGGCATAGAAATAGACCTACACACAAAGTATTCAAGAAATGCAGTTTCAAAGAGCTTGATAAGGTGGAAGTTGGGTGGGGCTAAAATATGAACATCAAAAAAATAAGGTATGAACATTTTGTGGAAGGCCCTGAATATGAGGTTAACAGAAAATTAGATACCAGATACAAGATTAAATGCTTTACAGATATATGTTGTATCATTTATTTCTTAGAGCATCAGACTGAGTTAGCTGTTACTGGCTAGAATTTTATTTATGAGCAAACCAAACTGGCTAAGTGGTAGAGTATTCAAAACAGATCTGACCTATAAATAATAAAAGGCTAACTTCTCTTTCCTCTAAACCAGCGATAAGAATTTTTGAAACATGGAATACCTGACTATTTAATCAAGGGCACTGACCTCTTTTCCCTTAGATTGTCAAAAAAAAATGACAACAGCCAACACAATAGCTGCCTGGTATGAATCAATCAAAATTATACCTTTTTTGTCAAATCTGGTAAAAAATATATTTTTTGGTGTGCCACAGAATTAATTAGTTTACATGTGCCATGATAGGAAAAAGGTTGAAAATCCCTACTCTAAACCATTCTTTCTCTCCAAAGCAGTTTGAACATCCAAATGGGGCAGGTGGTCAATGAAATACACCTAAATCCTTGTTGAGAGGAATTAATCTGATAGTGGAATATAAAAGGTTCCTTGTAAGCAACTTACAAAGATGAATTAAAATGTATTTGATCTGTATATCCTAGAATGTCTAGGCATACTGGTAGGCATGTAATGTTGTCTCCATATGTTATTGGCTGAAGTGAAAACCCGTTTATTACCAGCTTGTTAAAAGATTTTGCCTGTATTTTATACTCTATACGTAGCTATTAATTGACAGAGGTTTTTAACAAACTATTTCTTACTGAAATTCAATCTAATAAAACAATAGCTTCCTCTCCTCCAAACCTCCTCATACCTAAAAATCTCTACCACTTACAGAATTATTGGAGAAATTGTGAAAAACTTCCGTGAAGATGTAAACTGTACTCCATAGTCCAGTTGTTCCCAATGAGTTAGGAGCCTTGCTTTTCCCTGGTCAGGAGTCTCGAAAGGTGTTCCTTTTACAGCATGCAAAAATACATACATCCCCTGGAAAACAAGGGAGTATATAATTAACATCAAATACAGAACTGGTATCTATCAGCATCAAGATAGTTCCAGACTATTTATGACAAGGTATATGATTTAATTTACAGGTCAAGTTTTAAGCTTTCATATTCTTATGAACGCTGTGGCCAGTTCCTTCACAGTAACATAAATCTTCCAGGGGCATATAAATGTTATTTGTTGAAAGCCAGTAAAAGTTTAACCAAAAGTAACCTGCTTTCACCTTTTATTAAATTGAAAATAAATAAAAAGTAACATCAGAGTAACCTTATATTAATACATTTAGATTTTCTAGCACCTTTCCTATTGGGAAATAGGGTTTCCTTGCCCCAATGTGAAGGAAAGTTGAGAATGTCATATTAGTAAATCTGATATTTATAAAATGATTTTAAAAATATAAATTGGTTAATAAAATAAACTCTCTGTATCAGGAAAATGGTTTTGAAAATATTTAATATTAAGATGGTCTTTGAATGCTTTTCTTCTAAAACAACAAAGATGGTTTGATGTAATAGGCATAATGTTCAACTCAATTTGCTTTTAAAGTCACAACTGTGCCTCAACAGTGTTTCTATTGAAGCTAGTTTTTAAAAATTTTTTTACAAGGTTTACTAGAAGTCAATCTGTTCACTGGTATCTCTAAACATCTAATTTTTTTGTTAACTGGAAAAAAACAATGTATACTAGTTTTAGTTTCCTTGAGATTATGACACCCATTGAGATTGATAGGTAGTGCTTCATTGCAGTATCACTGTCTGAGGAACTGGTAATAATAAAGCCTAAATATTATCATGAAACCGTTTTCCCACTAGATGTCATGATATGATGTCATTTGTTTCTACTTCCACTTTTAACAAATATATGGGGGAAAAAAACAGAAAAATTAGTGATCTGAAATTTTACATAAGCCAAGGAATGTCTATTCTGTAAGCACAAGGAAAACACTTTCACGTGGGCTTCAAAGGAAACTGTAAACAGAAATTCCCAAGTGTGTGACCAAAAAAATTAAGTCTATACTCTAGACCATGTAATGTGTTAGAATTATCAAAGAACAAGCCTCTCGTTATTTTCTTCAAACCACATGGACTCACCAGTATTTAGAATATACATAACATTCGGTTTATTTTATATATCATTCTCAATGAAAAAGAATAAAATCTTATCTGACCACATATATTCTACTCCATTTTTTTATTTTTAATAGTTTTTCTATGAAATTTTAGTGATTTATACCCATGTCAAAAGAATTAGAAAGTATGTAGCTCATAGTTAGCCCTTGATAAATATTTACTGACTTAAAATGAAGAGCATTCTCATTCATTTTAAAAAGTAGGCAAAAAATTTGGCAAAATATTAATGTTGCTAAGGTCAATTGTAGCACCGAAGAAAAACATTCACTACATGTTTCTACTTACTATATGGTTTCAGAAAGGCAAAGGCCATATTTTTTCCTAACCAGAAGTAACAATTAGGTCTACTTTCCCATATTTAAAAAGCATTCAGCATGTATTTCACATTTTTAATTGGTTTAATATAGGCTATCTTCAAAAGAAACTTAAATTTGGAGCCATATAATTGCTACAGCTATGTCTGGTTAGTTAGGTTTTTAGTGTGGTGAACAATTAAGTCAGCAGTTTGCTTCCCTACCTGTTGTCTATTTCCTACCCTTTGTCCCTTGCCATATACTGTGCCTCAACCTCAGTCAACCAAATTGAAAACTTAAGGGGATGAAATGACTTCTAAAGTATATTTAATAAATGTCATTGGAGAAGGAAAAATTAAATGACAGTACAGACTAATTTATTCAACAAACATTTAAATAGGTATTTGGAGATATAAAAATTAAAAATAAAAGAGATAAACAGCTAACTATCATAAATACATGATATAAGAATACAGCATGGGAGTTCTGTAGCATCTTGGATAAGGTGACACTTGAATAGAGTTTTCCTGAGCAAATAGGAGTCAGTCAGGCAGAGCAGGAAGATGAGAGGGTATTAAAACAGAAGAGCCTGAGCAAAAGAAAGAGGTGAGAGCAAGACAACTTTCAGTGTTGTTAGAACACAGCTTGTATTTGGAGATGGGCTGAGGTAACATTGAGTCCCTTTCTTGCCTCTGCATAGTTACCAATTGGTCTTGTATCTCACACAGGGAACTTAGCATTTTACTATAAATGAAACAGGGAATCACTGAAGAATTTAAACAGTGTGACCTGAGCAGACACATACTTTAAAACTATCACTCTACCAAGTTGGAATGGAAGAGAGTAGAGGAGCATCAAGGAGACCATTTATCTATTTCAGCAATTTTCAGACTTTTTCATCTCATGTCACACATAAACTAATTACTAAAATTCTGCAGCACACCAAAAAATTTATTATATTTTTTGCTGATCTAACAAAAGATAGATACAATTTTGATTTATTCACACCTTATGGCTACTGTTATGGTGGCTGTTGTCATTTTCTTTATTTGACAATCTGAGGGAAAAGAGGTCAGTGCTTCTTACTAAATAGTCAAATATTCCATGTTTTACTACTTGTGGCATGTTTGTTGAAAAGTGCTAATCTATTGGAGGAAGAGACAGAAAAATAAAGTGTACGAATTACAGCAATGCCAGTGGGGATCAAACTGAGAGACAGTAAAGCAGAACAGACAGGGATTTGCCTAAATGAACAAGAATATGTAGGAAAAGGAGTTACCCTAAGACTAGGGTGAGCATATCTGCTAGTTTGCATGGACAACCCTGATTTACACCTATTCTGTTGGAGTAGTTATTACTAGACCTCTCTTTTACTCTAACACAGTCTCAGTTTGGATGATAAATTATATTAATCACTTTCCCTTTGACATTCGGCTATCTGGCTTGGCATACTGGACACAGAATAGTGCCTTTAGATTAGATTAGGAACAAAGTCAGAGGAATAGATTGTGGGTAGAAAGAAATAGATAAGGAATGGGTTCAATTTACACTTGTTTAATTTAAGGTGCAAGGTAATCTAGTAATATTAATATGGGTCATCCTTCTACAGGTAGAAACTGAAAATATGGGAAGATGAAATTAGTTAGATAGAATATAAAGCATAAGAAGAGATGAAAACCTTGGGAAGAGAAGGTGGGAAGTGCAAAAGGAAAGAGAAAAGATCAGAAATACATATAGGAAAAAGCAACAATGTAAAAACCAAAGGAAAAGAATTCTAATAAAAGGGATCTGATTAATGACAAATATTTCAGAGAAGTTATCATTTAAAAAGTGTTTTCCCTACCAAAGTCTGCTACTGAAAATGGACTAAGTGCACATTCGCATATTTCTACCGCATCATCCTAGTCCTCGTCCAGTCAACTTTAAATACTCTCCAGAAGAAATAAATCATGTTAATTTTAAAAAATCTATTTCTCTTACATTTTTGTCTTAATTCTAAGTTATTAACTTTTTGGATATCTTTCAATAAAAATGTAGTTAATCTGGATTCAATTAAAAGTCTCAATTAACCGGATTTCTCTTCTCTTGTTCCAATTTAATAAGCTGTTAAAGACAAGAAAAGCCACTATCAGGTTTATTTTTTCAACATACAATTCCCAAGGCTGCATAATATGGTCAATAGAGTTGCTCAAACTTCTAATACTTTGTAGAGCTGTCATATAATACAAAAGAGTGCCAGCCAACAGAAAGAAGCTAAGGTACCATAAGATGCTGAATCATATAAAATGATTAAGCTGAAAATTTCTATACAGAAGTAGGAAAGTATATTTAAACAATTTAGAAAGACTTAACAAGGATTGAAGATTGAAACCAAATATGTTCATTAGACACCAGTTAATCAAAAAACATACCTACTTCTTCTGAGGTATTCTGGTTTATCAGTATAATGTAGTTGATTAATTACTGTCTTGACATGTTTGCTAAAATGACCTACTATTTTCTAGATTCTATAAAAACAGTATAAAGAAAAAAAAGTCTTACTCATAAAAAGGGCCCAATGTTTAAATATAAAGTGTCACAGAAAAATATAATCCCATTCAACACTTAAATCCTTTAAAATTGTCATATATACTAAAAATCAATGAACAACACACTTTCAATGGATGTTCTTCTAAGTTATATCTAAAACTGTTTAAAAACGAAGTCACATGTTTTTCTTTATAAGAAAATTTTTAAGCTTTTTAAAAAATTGTGTTTAAATATATTTAAATGTACCATGTTAACCATTTTTATGTGTACAGTTGCGTAGCATGAAGTACATTAGCACTGCTATGCAGCAATCACCACCATCCACTTCCAGAACTCTCTGCATCTTGCAAAACTGAAACTGTACCCATTAGACCATAACAGTAACTCCCCATCCATTCCTCCGCCGGTCCCTAACAATTAAACCTTAAGTTTTCAAGTGTTTTGTATAAGGTGAAATTCTTACCAGATTATGTATAACATTTGTTAAGGTCCAAGCAACAGGAACACTGAAGAAGGGAATACTGAGTAAGACAATATGAAGCAAGACGACTCCCAACGCATATGTCAGCCACATCCCCCGGCTGTTCATTACCCGGGTATTTGGATTCACCTCGCTGTGCGCGACTCCAACATTCATGTTTGCTCTGTAGGAAAGCAATGAAATGAATCAACACTGACATAATTAGAAACTTATATACTCCTAATTCTGACATCATAAATTAAGTTAACTAGTAGTATTTTTCCTTGTTCTGAAACAGAACAAACACACCCTCCAAAATAGGCTACTTGCCGATGCTGACAACGGCAGTAAAGAATTCTTAACATTTGATTTTACGGTAAGACAAACAAGACTTATTTTATGGTTCTCCATGAAAAAATAAAGTTAAAATCCCTTTCTTAAAACTTGTCTTTCAGGCATATTGGTTTTACTAAATGAAATAATGGGCAGGAAAACTCAAACTGAAAGAGAAAACCTACATTTTTCTTTTATCATGAGAACCAAGTGAAAACTCAAGGGCTAAATTCATCAACAGAATAAATTAACATGAAGAAAGCAGAGCTGACCTAGCCAGTCTGTTGTTAAGTAGCCACACTCATAGCTAATGTAATGATCTATCCACAAGGAGCGGCCAGAGTTAAAATCCCTCCTTTTGAATACTGAACCTGGGAGAACACAAAGTAGTGAAAACTTTACACGGTCAAGGGATAAGGTTTGTTTCTCAATCTCCTGATACAAGTAAGTCAAAACAACAATCTTCCTTCTGGATATTTTTACTCTAGTCAACTCAGTTATTTTTCCCCTTTCTTTTTTTTAGGTTTTTCATTTTGCGTTCAAGGTGAACAACAAAGGGAGAACTGATAATAGTTAGCAGTCATCTTAATGATGGATGATGTGTGCTTGGGTCTAAGAATACCTTAAGCGATATAACACTGTCCTCAAGAACACCTATCATCCCGGCAAAAAACGACCAGTGAGATCTGCGGGGGGGAAAGAGAGTAAAACTGTGTTTGGAACAGCTCTGATTTTAAAATATATAAACCTTTCCTATTACAGAGTTGGCATCGGGAGAGGAATTTCTCCTAGCCCCATCCAACAAGTGTTTCCGGAGTACAATGTCCCCTTCCCTCTCCAAAAAATGTCTACAGAACTCAACGCATCAAGGGTAAGAGTGACAACTGGTTACACTAAAACGAAGCCAAAGTCTCAAATTCACGTGTATTTTTTAAATCTCAACACCCACCATGCAGCATACACTGTTTTGTATGGTAAATTATACTCGAGATTACTTTTCCCACTTTCCATATGGGAGGAAAAATGCTCCCAAGAGCTGGAAGGCGAAGGTGTGACCCTACCCCCAGATCAGAAAAACCTTTCCGAGGAGTCTCCCGCGACACCCTTAAACAATGACGTCGGACAGAGAAAAGGCTCTCGGCTGAGATCCTAACGGTTCCTTGCGGATGACGAGGGGTCCCTTCCCTGCCAGCGAGCCAGGCACCAGCAGCCTTCCCGACTGCCGGAGCTCCAGGATAATGGAATTTAGCAAAAGCCAATGCTGTTACTCCCGCAGCACCTCTCCCACCGCCCATCCCTTCTCGGAGCCGCACATCCGTCAGAGCGTAGGCACGACGACAAACATTTGGGGTGCAAGCCTCAGGGGCCACGTGGCCCGCACCGCCACACAGGGGGCGCGGACGCAGCCGGAGCGCACTCTTCTCCCTCACATTAACTCCAGTCAGCCACCAGCTCGCTCCCGCCGCTGGCAGCGGCACAGGCCTGCGGCCGTTCGCGCCCACTCACCCACCGCCCCCACTCCCGGCGGCCAACTCAGGGGAAGACCCGCTCCGCAGCCACAGCGTCTCTTCAAGGCCGATAGCGACTGGTCCGCTCCAACGCAGCTTAGCTTAGTTTGCGGAAGCCTTCAAGACCTGAATGCGCCGTCAGTGGATTGGCTGCTTGCAGTGCCAATCCCACGTTCCCCGAGCGGGGCGGGACTAAATGCCGCGCCACTGCCTGCTCCGCTGCGCGGGCGCTGAGGGGGGAATCCGGCGTCTGCGGAGCCGGGCGTGGGCTGCGGGCGGGACGCTGGCTGGTCGACTAGTGGATGGTAATTTCCCACGTCGCGCGAGCAAGAAGGTAGTGTCGTGTGGCTAAGGGGCATTCATTCTTTTGTTCTGGTAGTCTCGGGGCCCCCTACCAGCAACTCGTCCGAGTCAGTACGCAAGCGCCGCTGGCCGCTGTGGGCGCCCCTCCCCCAACCGCGGGGCGGGAAGCGGGAGAAGCTGGACTTGCGAGCGAAACTGACCTCCGCGGGCGCGCACACGTGGAGAGTGGTCTCCGAGCCAGTCAGCTTTGGTCTTCGCCGACTAAATAATGTTTAGGCTTTTGTTGCAGGCAATTCCACAGGTCCTTCTGGGTGCAAGACTTACCGTTGTTGTTTTCCAGGCATAAATTCCAGCCCTGGACAGCTATAACTTCTCTTGTGTGTGGTGTTTTATAATACTGTATGTTGGGGCATCATACAAGTGGTGCAAACAAACTCTTTTCAGTTAATGATTTTTATTGGTGTCTTTCTGGGTTTCTAGACACGCTGAGGTCAGGCATCTGTATTACGGTGCATCCTGAGAAATGTGGATACCAAAAGTTGATTTTATTAGAGAACGGAGAGGAAAAATCAGGTGATTAGGAGTCATATTTGAAATTGAGTTACATTACTTGGAAGTGCACAACTTTTGTCATTTATATTGTTGAAATAACTTTCAACAACATTTCAAAATTGGTGTAAGAGAATGTTGACTATATATTTTGCATTTCTATTGGTTCTGTGAAAGTTATTTAAGTAAATTACTTCATTGTGTTCTCTGATTTCTGCTGCTTTTTTTGGTACATTGTTGTCCTTAATCACCTTTCCTGGTCATCACACTTTTTCAGTAGTGTTTTGATTTCCACCTCAGCAAATACGGAAGACTGATCCTTAACATCCAGGGGTGCCCAACCTTTTGGCACCTCTGAGCCACACTGAAGAACAAGAGTTGTCTTGGGCCACACATTAAATACATTGCAACATGTATTCATAAAGGAACTGATCATGTTTTGAGTAAATTTACAATTTTGTGTTGGGCCACATTCATAGCCATCCTGAGCTGCATGTGACCTGGGGGCCGCAGGTTGGACACCCCTGCATGCTCTAACTTTTAAGTCTGATATCAACAACCCTTTCGCTTTTCAAAATGCATAATTTGTTGCACATGCAATAGAAGGCTGGGCGTGTTCCAGAGATTATGCTAGGGATATAAGATTAATATAAAATCTATCCTCAAAGAACCCTGAGCCAGAAGGAAGGGACAGAAAAATAGAATAACCTGTGATGAGTTTTGGTTTAGAAATAAGGAAAAGGCACTGTAGGAATACAGAGGAAGGAATGCTTAATCCATAGGGGGTGGAGGGCAGTAAGAAAGTCTTCCTTCAGAGAGAAAGGAACCTTGTAAGCTAAGGAACAGTGAGTACTACTACATTAAGAGAGACATTGTGTAGTATGACTGTCCTTCTATACATTTGGAGAATAGCGGGATGAGATTAGATAGAGGTCCAATTGTTAAGGATGTTGGACTTTACCTTCATAGTAGTTGAATGTCTTTATAAAATTTTAAGTAGGGTAGCAACATGATAAAATTCATAGATAGAACCCTATAGGTGGTTGAGATTTAAGGGAAAATACCTATTTCGAGGTCATTGCAAAGTATAAGGGAGAAATGTTGAGTTGAACAGAGGCAGTAGCTCTAGATATAAAAGGGAGAGGGCTAGATCGAGATATGTTTAGGTAGTAGGATAAAAATTTGGTAGCAAGATGCAGAGAGTAAGGAGAATTTCTAGAATGACTTAAAGATTTCTAATTTTGCCTTGTGAGACTGGATGAGCATGGCCTTTTGAGTCAAACATACCATAATGTACAGTAGTGCATCTGTCACTTACTAGTTGTGTGATCTTAAACAAGTTATTAAGCCTTTAAGTCCCATCTGTGATAGAGGAATGATGATATACATAGAATTGTTGTGAGGACCAAATGGGATTATATATATGAGGAGGGAGCCCCCCAAAAAATGGATTTTATAAAAAAATTGTGTATTCTTCCATGTTCATAAACTTCAGACACCTTCAGAGTACTCTCCATTTGATGCATTACATTTGAGATGTGTTTTCCACTACTCAAAACAGTTTTTGAACTTGTCGATTATGATGCCTTTTAGTGCTTCTGCCCATTTTTCTTTCATCTGTTACAGATAGGCAAGATATTTACCTTTGAAGACTTTTTTCCTCCAGGGAAACAAAAAATAGTCTCTCTGGATACAATCGAGTGAATAGGGGGGATGGGGCCCGGGTCCGGGGGTAAGGAGGGTTGTCATGCTGTGTTTGGTCAAAAACTGAACATGCTGCGTGATGTATGCAGGTGGCTCTTGTAAATCACGCATCATGAAATGGGCAGATGTATTGAAAGAGTCTTCAAAAATTAAGTGAAGCCAAGTGCAGCTTCTCACAAGGCCACAGGTACACTGATACAGACAGGTTTCTAGAACATTCACCTAGCGGGAGAAGCCTGTACTGCTGGGGCCTTCCCTCCAGAAGATAGTTATGGTTTTTTCTGGGTCACCCCTCATATAAAGTTGCTTATGTTAGCTATTAATTTTATTATCAAAAAGAAATAAAGGAAGCAGGTTAATTAGAAAAAGATTCTGAGACCAACTTCGGACATGTTAAGTTTATTTTGCCTCCAAGGTATCTAAACAATGATACTTAGAAGGTACTTGGAAATCAGGCCCTGTTCTGGAGTTTAGAAAAAAGCATGGTTAGGTGAGGGATGCTATGAAGACCAGTTAGAGTATATAAAGGGAAGGAGTTAAGGCAGTGTTAACTTGCTGAGAAGGAGGATATTTACACTAATGTTTACACTGGCATCAGGAAGGTGCTGATAAAATTATTTTTTATGACCCTTTGTTAGTATTAATGAAGTGTTTTCCTTGACTGAAGTATTCTGATTATTATGTTGCATCCGGAACTCTGCATTCAAAAGTTGTATAGGTCAGAACAGGGGTATGAGGAACATCTAGTGAGAGATGCAAGCCAAGTTTTTTAGGAATGTAATGGAAGGGAAGGATCATTCCTGGTTTGGCGATCAAAAGGACTATGTTACAGATGTTCCTGGAACTGGGTCCATAATAACAAGATCACGTTAGGTGGAAATGGAAGTGCAAATAGAGTGGGATTGCTGGCAAAGGAAGAATGAGATTTTTGACCTTGGTTGCTTAGATCAGTGTATTTTTAAGAGAAATAACAAAATTTAGTGGAAGGCATGAGACAGGGAGCAGGAAGATATGTTCTGTTTTAGAAATACTTATTTTGCAGTGGTAGTGACACTGCTAGAAATGCCTGTCTTGGGAAGGGAGAGATTTCTTTTGGAGATATAGATTTAGGTGTTCTGTAACTGAGGCTTCAAATTTTAATATGTCTAAGAAGAGAAGAGAGGGATTGCGGTATGCCCATATTTCTGGGAGGAGAGTGAAAAAAACATGATATCAAAGATATTAGAAGGGAGTGGGTGATGGAATTGATGGCAGTGAATATAGGTTACTTAAGTTTTGGCTTCAAAACCGAAGGGGGGCAATACTTATTGGAATAAAAGGGTTAAAAAAATTTTTGTTTTTTTAATTATATTTCATTGATTATGCTATTATATTTGTCTGTGTTTTTCCCCCTTTGCCCCTCTACCCAGCCCCCCCCCCGCCATTTCCTTAGGAAGTCTCCATACTGTTGTTCATGTCCATGGGTCATGCATATGTGTTCTTTGTCTACTCTATTTATGATGTATTTTACATCCCCATGACTGTTCTGTAGCTACCGATTTGTACTTCTTAATCCCTTCACCTTTTTCTCCCATTCCCCTAACCGCCCCCCCAAGTCTGGCAACCATCAAGATGTATCTCTGTATCTATGATTCTGTTTCTATTCTGCTTGTTTGTTTATTTTATTTTTTACATTTGATTGTTGATAGATAAGCATTTGTTGCCATTTTTTGGTTCATATTTTTGATGTTCTTCTTAAAGAAGCCCCTTTAACATTTCATATAATACTGGTTTGGTGGTGATGAACTCCTTTGGTTTTTTGCATCTGGGAAGCTCTTTATGTGCTCTACAATTCTAAACAATAGCTTTGCTGGATAGAGCAATCTTGGCTGTAGGTCCCTGCTTTTCATGACTTGAAATATTTCTTGCCAATCCCTTCTAGCCTGCAAAATTTCTTTTGAAAAATCAGCTGACAGTCTTATGAGAACTACCCTGTAGGTAACTAACTTTTTTTCTCTTGCTACTCTTAAGATTCTCTATCTTTAACCTTTGGCAGTTTAATTATGATGTATCTTGGAGTGGGCCTCTTTGCATCCATCTTGTTTGGAACTCTGTGCTTCCTGGACTTGCATGTCTATTTTCCTTCACCAAATTAGGGAAATCTTTCATTATTTTTTCAAATAGATTTCTAATTTCTTGCTCTTTCTCTTCTCCTTCTAGCACCACTATAATGTAAATGTTGGACCTCTTGAAGTTGTCCCAGAGGCTGCTTACACTATTCTCACTTTAGGGGATTCTTTTTTCTTCTTCTTCTTCTGATTGGATGTTTTTTGCTTCCTTATGTTCCAAATCATTGATTTGATTCTCGGCTTCATTCACTCTACTCTTGTTTCCCTGTAAATTTTTCTTTATTTCAATTTGTGTATCCATCATTTCTGACTAGATCTGTTTTATGCTGTTGAGGTCTTCACTAAGTTCTTGAGCATCCTTATAACCAATCCTTTAAACTCTGCATCTGATAGATTGCTTATCTCTATTTTGTTCAGTTGCTTTTGTGGAGCTCTAATATATTATTTCATTTGGGCCATTCTTTGCCTCCTCATTTTGGTAGCCTTCCTGTGTGTGTTTCTATACATTAGGTAGAGCTGCTATGACTCCTTGTCTTGGTAGCTCGGCCTAATATAGTAGGTGTCCTGTAGGGTCCAGTGGCATGACCATCCCTACTTATGGTACATGCTTTATGTGGGCTGAGTACCTCCTGCTCTTGTAGTTGAGACTTGGTTGCTGTTGGCAGATCAGTGGGAGGGATTTTCCCAGGCCAGTCAGTCAGCTGCAAGGACTGGCTGTGACCACTGACCAACAGCTTCTACCCTCCATGGAGGATCAGTTGTGCAGGGGCAGGGTGGTGGTGCTCTGACATGGTCTGAAGCTGGCCACTGGGTGAGAATGCTCTGAGGTTTCCCCAGATGGTGCAGGCCATGTTCAGCCCCCATCCCTGTTTTGCCTGAGGGCTACCTTGCTACAGCTATAAAGGAATCTGCGATAGCTGCTACTTGTGCTGGGCTTGGAGATTCACAGGAGAAGCCAAGCTGTGAATCTAGGTTGGTTGCTGCTAGTTCTGTGCCTGGGGTCCCTTAGCAAGAGGTACAGGGGCTATGGGTTTACTTAAGCTGGCTGTTGCTTATTTGATCTGTTGCATGTTTGATAGGATTTAGGGAGTTGTGAAGCATGAGCCAAGGCCAGCCATTCATATGGAAAAGTCATGGTTAACAGCTTGGGTGGGAAGGCCAGCCATTCATGTGGAAAAGTCATGGTTAACAGCTTGGGTGGGCCTGTAAGTTGGGTGGGACAGAGTCTCTGGGGATCTCCAGGGTGAGGCAAACAGTGTTAGCCAGGTTGATGGAGTCTCAGATATGGCACTAACCTGCTGGCTCTGTGGCTCTCTGGGGGAGGGTTCAGAAAAGGGACAATGGCCTCTGCTCACCTTTCTGTCTGGGAGAAAGTTGTTGCCCAGTTCCCACCTTGATGCCAGAAACTTCAGTTCCTCCCTGTATGTCATTGGTGCCCTTCAAGCTGCTATCCCAGTGATGGAGTTCAGAGGGAGTAAGTCTGAATAAGTCCAATTTAGGTTATTGAAGGGGAACTGCTTGGGACTCCAGAAGTTTCTTCCATTGACTCAATCCCCACTAGTTTTTGCAGCCAGAAGTTGTGTGGACTTACTTCCTGGGCTGGGGGTGGTCTGGGTGTGAGGCTTGGACTCCTCACTTCCAAGATATCCTTCCCAAATTTTTATCCACCAAATGTGGATATATGAGCAGCCCATTCCGCGTCTCTGCCCCTTTTACCAGTCTGAATGTGGTTCCTTTAATTCCATAGTTGTCAGACTTCTGTTCAACTCGATTTCTGGCAGTTCTGAGTGATGGTTCTTCTATATTTCAGTTGTAATTTTGAGGTGATTGTGTGAGGTGGTGAGCTGTGTTTACCGACACCTCCATCTTGATTGGAAGTGCACAGTGTTTTTTCTTTCAAGGCCAAGATGTCTGTGGGAGTCCTGGATAAAGAAGCTAGGTGTAAGTGTTAGCATAGTGGGAAGAGACATTCACCTGAGACTGAGGGAAGAAGAGAATGTACAGGTGCAGACACTTTAAGAAACCAGAGGACACAGTGGGGTAGAGGAAAGAAGGTGTATATAAAGATAGAGTTCATGCTACCTTGATCTCGGTAAACTAGAAGAATGAGGAAGATTGGGATCAAATTACGAACTGCGGGGGCAGGGGGTGATAGAAGACTTTGAGGGGGAATTGTAGAGAATCAGATGGTGATGAAGAGATTGCCCAGAAAGAGTGAGGGTTGAGGTGAGGCTAAATTAAACCCCAAAGTTTGATTGATCAGTACTTTTCTTAGATTCTTGGGATTCTCAAACTAAGATAGACATCTCCTTGAATGCAAGTTTAACCTTATGCTAGCTTCTTTTGGGGTAGGGGGAAGAAATTCATTGAGGAGTTTCGGAGGAACTCAATTTAGCTCAGGTATCCTGGGATCTTTTAGCATATATATATGCCAAACACTAGAAAGTATCTTATTTACTTCTTACCACAACCATATGATAATCATTATTACCTCCATTTTGTAGATTAGATGAGTTTTAGTCTTTAATTCTCTCAGCATTATATAGCTATTAGTATAAGGGCTAGGATAGAACCAAAAGCAATGTGATTTCAGAACCTGCTCTTTTAACTACCCTACCCAGCACTGTGCAGTATAACTGTAATGTGAGCCACACATACAATTTTAAATTTTCGAGTAGGTACATTAAAAAAAATTTTAAATAAGTAAAATTAATTTTAATGTTTATTGTAACTCAATGTATCCAGAATATCGTTTTATCCTGTAATCAATGTAAAAACTAATAAATTTTTTTTAATGCTGATTTTCGAATCCAGACTATGTTAACATGTCTCAATTTGGAGTAGTCACATTTCAAGGGTTCGTGTGGCTAGTGGCTACCATATTGGACCATGCAGCTCTATATGCTTAGAGCTGAGGCCGAAGGTTGGGGGAGGGCATAGGGTGCCTTTCACTTATGACAGCTTAATTTGTATGAATGTTAAGGTAATGAAGTAACCTGATTGTCTACTGTTTTCCTGAGTTATTAGGAAACCCTCCCAACCCTTGAAAACCTTTGAGAAGTAGTTGTTCACAGCTATTTCCCTTAAAACTGGATATCTATCAAACTAAGTCAAATATATAATTAGAAGGTAATTGTCAGGGTTAAAAAAGAATTCCCAGTATTTGTGTACGTAATCAACTGTCACCATCATAAAATAATGTACATTTTATATGGTCTTATCATTTACAGAACATGTTATATATGCTTTTTTATTTGATTCTTGTAACAGATCAGTGAGGCATTATCTCCACCTATACAGGCGATGAATTGATTTTTCAGTGGGATTTAAGTGATTTGCTTCAGTTTATGTGTGATAAAGATGAACCCCAAAACCTGTCTTTTTAAACTCTGATCTGGTCTATTCTTCTACTGTGCTAATCAGCTTTACTTTACACAAAACAAAATATTGTTGTATTTATTAATTGTGACTAGCTAACACTGCTTAAAACTCAGTATGTTGGCCTACCAGAAATGTATCCTTTAAAATCCTACGTAATTGTCACGGGGGCTATACTGCATTTCTTGCTAGTTATTGACTCTAACTTTACCTGACATTCCTTGTCTTATGTTGCCTAAGAAAGAATCCTAAAAGGACACCTTTTGTTATGTTTGTTTTGGGCACTGCTGTTTGTTTGGACCTAGATTCCATAGGATCAACTTTGTGAGCATGGAACTTAGTCATGGTAAATTAAGGATGTGCATAGTTCCCCCCCCCTCACATTTTTTGTCAATGAAAACCTTGACCATAGAAGAATTACATGTTGTCAAGCTGGTGTTTTATATTTTCCTGATATCTTTTCTGAAATTAGAAATTAAGACAGATGCAAACCCAACTCCCTGCATATTTTACAATGGGATTTTCATACGAGATTTTTTTTTTCTTTGTTTGAAAGGGTTTCATAGCTAAAACAATTACTGGCAGGGAGATTTTGGATGTACAGGTATGTAAAGGAACTTGAATGCCAGCACAGAGATTGGAGCTTTACCTTATTTTGGCTTTGGGGAGACACATGATTAGAATGTTTTGAGCAGAGGATAGATGCCTGATATATCTGGGATATGACTAATTCATATTAACAGTAATTCTAGGGTCTAGATATCCTAACTCCAGAAGAACTCCATAATTGAGCAAGACATTGTAACTCATCAAAATATATGGATGGCTAAATGCTGTTTCAGCGAGACTCCCAGGAAAGCACACGACTGACATCTGCATCCCAGAATGACAGTACCACCGGTCATTCCTACTCAGGCACATCACATAGCATGCTCTTTATATATAGCACAGTTGTGTTTATCCTTCTTCGGTTATTATCATAATGTGATTAACTTCTCTGTGCCTTAGTCTTATAAAATGGAGGTGATAATGGCATCTATTTCGAAGAACATTTTTAAGAAATAAATGATCTAATACTGTGTGTGCTTACAGTAGAGCCAGACATACGAGTCTCTATAAATGTGAGCTGCTATTATTATTATTGGTGGTGGTATTAGTTCTTTTAGGAATATTTAATAATTTTTATTTTTACAACTTACATTTTTATCTTCTAGCTACTCTGCTAGAAGCTAGAATGAAACAGTTACCTGCAGCAACAGTTCGCCTTCTTTCAAGTTCCCAGATAATCACTTCAGTGGTCAGTGTTGTAAAAGAGCTCATTGAAAACTCCTTGGATGCAGGTGCAACAAGCATAGATGTTAAACTGGTGAGTGTCCCTGAAGTTAGGGTGCATCATAATAATTTAGAAAAGTTTGTTACTGGGCCCAGAATTTCAGATTCAAGGTGGGACCCACAAATCTGTATTTTTAATAGATTGCCAGTTGTTGCTGAGAACTGCTATTCTATACCATGTCAAACTTGTATTTTGTTTTTAAATATAAGCTTTATTAGTATGAAAAAAATTTATTAAACCCAAAAAAAGACTATTTTTTAGAATTTTCTATATTCACTTTAGTCTGATTCTAATACAATTGATAATTAAATAGGATTAGATCATTATATCTGACATTTCACTTAAGAATCTTAGGCAGACAAACATGTTCTTAAAAGTTCTCTGGAAGAAAAACAGTTTTTAAAAATCATGTTATGAAGCCACCAGAAGTCCTCTTTAAAAAGTAAATGAAAGTGCAAATTTTTATCTGGCCATGTATTTTATTCCCTTGACATTTATCAGTGTCTTTTTCTCTGCTTTGTAGTTTTAAAATAAACTATTATGTGCTATACATAATGTCTGTTTCGTTATGGTTTTATGCAGTAATAATATCCTGGTTAAGAATGTTCTCCTAATTAAACAGACTGATATTTTTTTAAAACAATTAAAACAGGTCTTTGTGTTTCTCAGATGACTGGAGTTCTCATTTATATTGAAAGATTTGCTTTTCTATAGTTAATGATTTTAGATTGAAGAGAGATGAGGAACTAAATCTTGGGTGTCTCTCCTCAGCACCTTGTATATATCTATTTTACCTAAAAAATACTGACATAAGTAGTATTAAATAATTTTAGGTTATTAAAATACCAGAGTCACTGTAATTGTGGGAAGATTTTATTCCCTATAAAATTTGCGTCTGTGGCCATACACATAAAACTTTGTGAGGTCAAGTTTATGATAGAAGTTTAGTACCAAATTTAGAATATGGTATTTATAGAAAGTGGGATCACTATAGGAATTTAGATTTTGTTTGTTATGTATGCATATATTTAGTACTAGAAAACTAAGCTATGAATTGAGGGTTTTTTCCTTGATTTTTCAAATTAAAAATTCACTGAGATTGCCAAATTACATGTATTTTCTCAGCAGTTTCCTGTTGTTTGTGCAGAAGGAAAATTAAAGTTTAATGTAAATATTTAAATTTCTTATGAAAACAGTAGGTAGTTCAAGGGCGAACATACCCAAAACCCAGGTAGAAGAATGGTAAGTGCAGGACTCTTGCTAGGTGTTATTTTTGATGGTTATGGTGGTGTTTTATTTGTTTGAGCAAATGTATATACAGAAGTATCTATAATATAAAAGAATCTTTTGATCAAGTTTAAACATGGATACCTGTGATACTGAGACAATTCAAGGGAATTTTGAAGATCAGACTGAGCTTTCTTATTTTACAGTTGAATCTGAGTCCTGGGAAAGTGAGGAACTTGCCCACTGTACCACAACTAGGGGATAGTAGACTTAAGAAATTAAACTCTTATTTCCTTAAAATTAGGTTTTCATAAAAGATAAATAAATGACAAAGTTTTTTCACTTGTGTTTCTGTTTTTAAATGTAACAGTTTAATGTCTGTATACTAAAAGTATTTTTTAACTTTGTATAGGAGAATTATGGATTTGATAAAATTGAAGTACGAGACAATGGTGAAGGAATCAAGGCAAATGATGCACCTGTAATGGCAGTAAAGTACTACACCTCTAAAATAAATAGTCATGAAGATCTTGATAATTTGACAACTTACGGTTTTCGTGGCGAAGCCTTGGGGTCAATTTGTTGTGTAGCTGAGGTAAGGTAATTTATATTGACTTTTAATGATTTTATAATCACAGAATACTAGAATAAAGAAAAAACTAGGCCAGTATTTGGCAAAGAGCATGGTTTTTTTTTTTGTTTTGTTTTTGAGGTGAATATACATAACATAAAACTTACCATTTTAACCATTTTTTAAATTAATTTTATTGGGTTAACATTGGTTAATAACATACAAATTTCAGGTGTTCAGTTTTATAATAGAACATCTGTGTATTCTATTGTGTGCTTACCACCTGAATTCCAATCTTCTTCCGTCACCATTTTAACCATTTTTAGGTGTACAGTTGAGTGACATTTCAAGTACATACATTCACATTGTGTGTAGCCGTCACCACCATCCATCTCCAGAACTTTTTCATCATCTCAAACTAAACTCTGCCCACATTCTCCTTTCAGCCTATCCCCCGATAACCACTATATTACTTCCTCTCTGAATTTGACTATTCTAGCTACTTCACATAAATGGAATCATACAATATGTGTCCTTTTGTATATGGCTTATTTCACTTAGTTAAATGTCTTCAAACTTTGTACATATAACATGTATCAGAATTTCATCTTTTGTTAAAGCTGATAATATTTCATTGTATGCTTAGATCACGTTTGTTTATCCATTCATCTGTTGATGGACATTTGAGTTGTTTCCACCTTTCATCTACTATTGTGAATAGTACTGCTATGAATATTAGTGTACTGAGGTCTGTTTGCGCCCCTGCTTTCACTTCTTTTGAGTATACAGGGTCTGTCCGGAAGATATCCAGCCATGTAACATGAAAAATAGAGACATTTATTGGCAGTTGGGAAGCAAGATACAAGAAACATTGTACATAGGACAATGACACTTCAGTCCCCTTCAAAACCTTGGGACCTCACATAGTTCTCCCAATTGCCATCAGCTGCCCTGTTGTATTTTCCTGAATCTCATCAACAGTCTGAAATCTCTTCCCTTTCAAAGGTGATTTAGTTTTGGGATAAGCCAGAAGTCACGGAGCACCAAATCTGGGCTGTAGCGGGGCTGAGTCACCTGGGTGATTTGATGTTTCGCAAAATAACTCTGCACGAGACATGATGCATGAGTGGGCACATTGTGATGAAGCTGCCAACCACCAGTTGCCCACAGCTGTGGCCTTCTGAATCATCTAAATAGTGTCAGTGGAGGACTGTTCAAGCTTAATGCAAAATTTGATGTAGATTTGTTGCTTAGCTCACTTAGTCATTTTGAATGTGATGGCCACACAGTATACATGCTCACTCAGTGGCGTCTACTGCTCCTGCTGACTAGTACAGTGAAGTCATCGTTGTTCACATGTGCACATTCCAGTCCACTCTCTTGGCTGTCAGGTTACATGGATGTCGTGCAAACTGTTCTTGTTATATTAACAATGGCTGGACTTTTTCCAGACAAACCTGGTATCCCCAAAAGTGAATTACTGGGTTATATGATAATTCTCTTTAATTTTTTGAGGAATAGTAAAGTATGTGTTGCAGTGTTTATATTTAGAAGAGGAAAAAGTGTTTCAGTGGCCTGTTGGCTTGGAAAAAGTGTATTCAATAAAATTAGATACCGTAACTATAAGCACTTTTCAGAACCTTAACTATATTAAAGCATATTGTGAGTCTCTAAGGTTGGTGGTTTACAGTAAGCTTATTTCCCTGCCACCTACTTGACTATGAAACGTTTTTATTGAGAACATACCATTTCAGTTGTTTTATGGAACACACTCTGGAAATACTAATCTACTCAGTACAGATAATTAGATTGTGCCCTAGAGATGTGAATTGAGTTGACTGAAACCCCTAGTTAGAGTCAGATTGGATACTAGAATTTTGCTCTCCTGGCTGATGGTTAGGTGATTTCAGTGTTTATAAACCTTTGAATTCAGTGCCTGACCCACTTGATTGCCGAGTACCAATGGTACAATGCCTGCCTCTGCAATAGATTGTACAACTAGTTTGTGGCAAAGCTCATCTAGAACCTTGTTTTCTAGGCATTTTTAGGCATTCATTTGCTTGTATTTCAGTTATATTTTGTCACATTATTCTTTGTGTTATGCTGTTTGCCTGTTTTATAGAGTGATAGTATGTGTGTGCTAGTGAGAGACGTGGTGATTGTGAGGGTGTTTTTAACTATCTTAAGTTTGTCCAGAGATCATGTGAATCTTCATTTGTGCTTATGCTGGCAGACCCTATTTAGGTAAGAATCTTCGGGTGTAGTAAAATGATAGGATTTTGTATCTTTTGTCTGTGAAAAGTGTCAGGGACATAAGATGTTGTTTCTTTTCATCTGGTCTCTGGACATCTATTGGTAGCCTAGGGTCCCCAGCAGTCGTATATTCTCCAGGCTTACCGTAGTGATCTTCCCTCTGCCCTTCTGCCTGTAGAGTGTTGCCATAGTGTAGGCTTTCTCCATTTTTTTGTGGGTAGGGTCCATTAACTCTTTGATGGCAGGGCTCTGTAAGGTGTTACCTAGATAAGAAAGAAGAATTGTGGGGGTGAGAGGAGGTGGAGTTTAGAGTAGCCGATTTTGCAGTTCTAGCACAAAGATTGTGGGCCCTTGCTTAGAAGTCAGGTGTTCAGACATCACTAAAGGAGGAAAGACTTTATCATTCCTTAAGTGCACTCTGCTTGAAACTTCTGTCCCAGTACTAGCACATTTTGTGTTTCTGCTATTTTCTTAGCATTTGATTTATTTAAAGTTTATTTAAAGTTTACTGAGCCTCCAAAGAGATTTTAGGGAAGAGTGACTAGAGGGTACAATTGGGCATTGCCTATCATTTGCCCCAGAGACTGTTTATGGGAACCAATAGCCCTGGGATCTTCGAGAAAGAGTCTATTTTATAAGTGGGATGGGATTTGTACCAGGAAACCTGAAGCTCCCAGTACTAGTACTATTGTATAAGCTCTTGGTGACTGTGTTAAGAAATCATATAATTTGCGTGAAAACGTAAGTATTTTATTTTTTTAGCTATTGCCCAAATTTAGTAGGTCATCTTTAAGCTTTATTTTGGCAGTAAGTTTTGTTGAAAAATATATAATTTAGCATTTCTTTATTTTCTAAGAACCTTTCAGAACTGAAATTAGTCATTATTGGCCTTGTCTGCTAGGTGGCAGCACTATACTTAGTCTTTTAAAGTATATTGTACATAGGCCATATGATTTATCCAAATCTACACTGTAGATCTGATTTTAGATGGCTGTTTTGCGAGTCCTTATCCAGTGGTACTCTCTGTTCTGTTTCTTTATTTGATTACTTGAACCCACTTGATGTCTGTTTCTATCACTTTATCTTTTGTTTCATTTTTTTGAGGCATTTGAATGCCTTGAATATAGATACTTAAAATAATGTTTGCTCATCAAAATTACAAAAGGAGTAAAAGAATTGTCAAAGTATCACAATAATAGAAAACTATGAATTTAAAAAATAGTATTCAGTTTTCACATTATAACATCAAATGCTTGTAGAAAATATTAACAACATTTTGTGGCATCTCTATGCTTTTAAATCTTCGGGAGAACCACACACAGGTGTGTGTGTGTGTGTGTGTGTTGTGAATTGTGAATTTTTATATCTGTATACTTTGGATCCAGATACAGACACACGGCGGGGGGGGTGTGTGTTTGTGTGTGTGTGTGTGTGTGTGTGTGTGTGTGTGTGTACACACACACACACGTACGTACACATACGTACGTACTCTGGATCCAGATACAGACAATTGTCATTACCCCTGAAGGTTCTCTCATGCCCCCTCCCAGTCAGTGCTCCTCAAAGTAATTGCTATTCTGACCTATATCAACAAAGATTAGGTCTAACTGTTTTTTGAACTGGATCTAAATGGAATCTTACTATATGTATTATTTTTGTCACAGACAAAATTTTTTAGGATGACTTAAGTTTGAAAGGTAAAGGAAATTCAGAACTTTGGTGGTAATAGTAATGGACCCTAGTCACTACCCAGAACCCTGTTTCAGGACTGAGCACTCAGTTTCCCAGCTACCAAGAGTATTGGTGACTGAATACTCACAGCTCAGTCTCCCTCTGGAGCTTGCCCTTACCTCAGCTAAAAAGAGTTGCCTTACTCATGTCATACAGGACACGCGCATCCAGTGACTGGTTGATAAGGGGTTGTAAAGGCCCCGTTCCAATTCACAACTCTGCCATACTATCTGTGCTCCAGAGTGTCTCCCTGGGGTCAGCCAAGGCCTTGTGACTGTGGCACAGCCTCGCTTCTCTTTCTGCTGCGTCCCCACGGGAGATCACCCTAGGAGCACTCCCCAGTAACTGTCCTAACTAGTCTCTATCTCAGTCTCCTTCATGTGTAAGCCGTTCTATAATGAGGTTTTATGGTTCAGTCTCATAAAACTGGTAAGGAAACTGAGGTCTTGTGAAGACCAAATACCAGGTCTTCTCACCCCGACTTCAAAACACAGTCTCATAATCAGTAGGCTAATACCTCTTTGTATGCAGGGTGCTGTGCTAAGAAGTTTACTCCAGAGGAATGATGTACAGTGAAGTAAAAATGGAATATGAAAATTATAAGACGGTCTGTTAGGGTACAAACCTGCCATCTTCTCAGATCGATGACCACCTGAGTAAAGCACCTATAAAGATTTAGAAAAAAAGAAAAAGAAAATTTGACTTATTTTGGGATACATAGTTCATTGGTGGTAAAACTAAGAATTCAGTTCCAGTTTCATGCTTCCCAGTGCTGAGTGTCCCACAGTAGGTCATGCTGCCTTATTAGTGTTAGAAAGGTATTTATAAGTTTCAAGTACCTCATATTTAAATAATAAATATCCCAGGCCTGCAGTGGTAAAGCTCCATAGATATCAGGAGAAGTCAAGTTTGAAACTTATGTGGCGAGGGTTCTGAATAGTGTTTCAGAAATACAGAAAGCAATATATGCTTGTTAAGATCAATTACACTTAAATACTGTTGCTACTCAGGAAGACTTAATGAGTGCTTTTTTGGGAAAAATCACTTTTTAAACTTAATATTCTTCATCACTCAGAATTTCATTTATAGAAGTTTCACATTTATTTTAAGGCTCCAATTTATTTTGAAAATTTTTGGATAGAGATTGCAATTACATAATAAAATTTAATGATTTGGTTATTTTATGTGCAAACTAACTGATGCTGATAATATTAAACATATAGATGTAAATCATCTCAGGATCATTAGATTGATAATATAGGGCAGGGCAAAAGTAGGGCTATGGTTGTGAGCAGGAGACACAGTTTATTCTTGTATTATTATTTATTAATTACTGTTATCATTTTTCATACAAACAGCTGTAAACGTACTTTTGCCCCAATGTGTATGTAATTGGGGTAGTGTTTTGTCCCAATATTAAATAGCTGTTCCCCAAAACTCCAATTATTGGAATTACTTTTTTGTTAGATTATTTTAAAGATGTTAATAATTTTAGTTATAAAAAGAAAAATGTAGACTTTGAGCAAAATTGGCAAGATAAATTTAAAATACATCTAATTCTTTATTCTTTATACACTTTAAAAGAATGGGCAGTTTTCCAGTTTGTCAATAATAAAATGACTTTAAATCTTAGAATCAAACAGTCCAAAGGTGTAAAATACTCTTTATATCTACAGAGTATCCTACTGGTATTTTAAAATGGAATTACTGATTTCATAATCTATGATGAATGTATCAGTGACTGGCAGAAATTCAATGATGCGGTTTTCTTTAAGTGATATCATGAAGCATAACTTCTCTTGAAATTTTATGTTGTTTGTAGAGTACTAATTTTGCTATATAGGCCATCCTTCAGTGTTAAATTTCTGGTACTAATTATTAAGCATACCCTGTAGAATGAACTCAAGTGAAAATTCTGTTTTGACCTATTCATAAAATTTTTTACGAATACTGTGCATATTGTTCCTGTCACATAATGAAATGCAGTAAAAAATGTTTTCTTTGTAAGTTGATAATTTACATACATTATATTAAAAATAGTATTTTTTTCCCTCCAAAGAAATGTTTAAGAAACTCATACAAGTTTTTTGAACTTGATTTTAAATGGAGGCTAAATTATACCTCAGTTTCAGGAGGAATGCAGAACAGTTTTGTTTTGTATTCTGAAAATCAGAACGAATTCTGAACTAAGAGTCAGGAACCTAATTCTCATTCCCAAGTGTTTGCATAAGACTTGGCTAAAGGTATAGAACAGGTTTCTGAGAGTTTTTTCTTTTTTATTTTATAAAGTAAGGATAATGATTTGAAGGTCAAAGGAAATAATACATATTCAAGTATCTTGAATATTGTCATGTGTCATATAGTGAGTTATTTTTACTCTGAACTTAAATATGGAAGGTGATATGCAGCTGTATCATATAGGTGATGATGTCCTCAGCCTTGCTCATTACCATGTTGGCAAGCAGTATTTCACCTCAACTTTCAAAGTTTATGCAAATTCCTCAATATTTGGGGGAAATCCTTTCTAAAATTTGACAGCCATTTTTAGGTAAATTCTTTCTAATTTTCACCAAAGGTCTTTATTTTAGTGTTTCATAAACCATGTTTTTCCTTTTGATTTTCCTTCAGAAGAATTAGAATTGCCAGCCATCCTCTGCGTAATACTCATGTTTATTGATATATCCAGCCAACATTTCTTGAAGTGGTTACAGTGTGCTGGGTATTCTGACCTGTCAAGTTTACTGTACATAATTTTGTGATGAGCTAATATGAGACCTGTAGGTTTGTTGTTGTTTTATATTGCATTAAACCTCCATGGCTTCAAAGGGATAGAATGAGAAGCTGAGTCATTCTGTTTTGGAGATGAAGTTGAGACCCCCATCTTTGTGGGCCCACTTAGCTATAATAGGGTAGGAGGAAGCCCCTAGTATAATTCCAATGGTTCCTGCCTCTTGCTGCACAGTGTATGGTACCTTCTGTCTTTTTGGAACCATGGAGGTGGAGCTTTAGTTAGAATAGGCAACAGGAATTTTTGAAGATTCTGCTTCCTAGATACAACCTCTTCACAGGTAAGAGAACTCTTGTTGAAAAGGGAAAAGACAGAGCCAAGGTCTCTCTGTTGCTGGTCTCCCCTAGTGGAGTATCTGGGAGAAGGTTCTGATGTCAGAATGCCTATATTAGTGTACAGCTATGCACAGGCAGGCGGGCATACTTACACACAGTAAGAAAAAGATGTTTAAGTCATCCAGGCAAGATCCATACTTAGTTGAATCAGGAAGATCATTTACTTACTTTGGTTTTCAGACTGATGGTTCTTGGAAGCATTCTTCCAAAAGTCAGTAAAAACAAGCAAAAACAAAACTGTAACATAATTATCTAATGAATTTTTCTCAAGGGAGGACTTTTTGCATGATTTACCAGTACATATCTTAAGTGTATAATTTACTTTTTATCTAAGACATTGAGGAAAAATGTGCTTATCTAAACTTCAAGTGCTTTTGTTTAACTTGAGCTTTGTAATAGTATAATTTCTTGAAACTCAGTAACTGAACCAGAATCAGTTTTTAATAAGTGATAGCTAATATAACCTCTAAGGTCCTCTAAGAAATTCTAAAAGCTCTTTTAAAATAAACTTCTTTTAAAATTCTTTGAATAAATTTTCGTATTTCTTTTACTAACACTGCTAGATTCATTCACTACCACAATCCCTCAATGTCTCCATTAAGAGGCATTGGTAATAATATGTATATTAGCAATATTTCTGAGGTGGAGTTACTGCAGGTTCAAATGCTAGCTACTGGACTGCTTACACATTCTGAACCTGTGCCTGGTCCAAAAAAAGGTTTCCTGCCTAGGACACAGGGTCATATGATGAAATGAACTCTTGAAATACAATTCCTTCCTCTGAGGAACACACTGTATTTCATGAATTTGTGAAACATGCTTAATGTGTTTTATCCTTCACTATCTTTAGTAGTGAATTGCAAAGCCTTTCCTACCTAAGTGAATTTTCATAGTACCCTACACATTCTAATTTTTAAAAGTTTAATGTTGGAAAATAATACTGTGTTCTTTTTTTTTTTCTTTTTACTTGAACATGAGTTACATTATGAGTCCTATAAGTCCTATTTTGCTTTTTAGTTCTTTAATTTATTCATCTAGGCTGGAGTATATTTACTATTCACTAATGTTCTTAAAGGATGAACAAGTTAATATCTGTAAAGTGCTTTAATGTAGTTAAAGCAAAACCAATGTAACCTTATAAAGTATTAGCATCATCTTCATCTTATCATCACCCTCCCCTTAAAGATGATACTGTAATTTATTCAGGACCATCTAGTAAGCCACTGGCAGAGTTAGTGCTAGAACTCAGAGTTCCAGGGCTGCCTTTGCTCATTGACACCAACTTTAGGTCAGGTGGCTAGGTCTTTAGAGAATAGAAATAGAATTCAGTTGACCTTGGCATTTTAGAGAAGTGGTTGGTTAAATGGAGAATTGTTTTTAAAGGGACAATCATAAAGTGATTAGAGACAAAGAAAATTTCTAGCAATCTGTTTTCTTTATTTTGACAAACTTTACTAGAAGAAATCACTGTTGGACACAGTGGAGTTGTGAAGTAGCTGAGAAGATTAATTATCAGAAAAAATTTTAAATTACACAGTTTTGAAACATGGATTATATTATTGGAAGAAGTAAAATAATCGCTTAAGATTATTAGAGAGCCGTTATTGCAGAAATAGCAGCCTGAAGCAATGCCCCTGGTGAGGATTTTGTGGATGTCACCCTTAGAGTGAATCTAATAGACCATACTAGTACTATTCCTGAGAGAAGCCATCCTATCTCCTGATGACTTCTTTTCAATTCCCTGCATAGTATCCACATGTTCCACAGAGCCATATGGCCTACGATAAATCGGTGCATGGTTAGAACAGGGTGACAGAACAATCAGATATAGACTCAGCTGGACCTAGTTAAGTTCTAGCAGTGGAGCTGGATTTGTAGTTTCTTTCTGTGTTACATAGATTTTTTTTTTAAGATTTTATTTTTTTGCTTTTAGAGAGAGGGTAAGGGAGGGATAAAGAAAGGAAGAGAAACATCAAGTCAGTTGCCTCTCATTACTAACCCACATCCAGGCTTGCACCCTGACCAGGAATTGAACTGAAAACCTTTTACTTTGTGGGATTATGCCCAACCAAGCCATACCGGTCAGGGCCATATAGATTTATTTTAAGATAACCAGTTCTGTTCAGTCCAAGGATGGCCAAGAAAGATTGCTTCCGATTTGGGGTCAGCATTGTTCACCAGAAGTGTGAGAAAGCTACCTTTTTCTGAATCCACCCTGCTCTCCTTGCCAGCCAGCATCTCTACACCCTACCTATGGTATTTTCTGGCAAGGATATGGTTTACTATTGTTATACTCTCATACAAATCTTAGGAGATGTGTAAGCAGAGTTTAAGAAAAAATTGGGCATACATATGTATGTGTTAATTTGTATGTTTTTATTCTTTTGAACCATTAACTTGAAATACAGAAATGCAGTATTATACAAAATATAAAAGGAGGGAATGATAACTTTACAAAAGGATTATTTACTAACAAATTTATAGTCTGTTAAAAAAGCAAGCTTACCTAATGCATTTGAGGTTTTGATTTTATAAATGAGTCACACAACACATATAGTAAAAATAGCCACTTCAGGCTATTTTTATATGGCTAAAATTCAGGCTAAAATATATGAGTATTTTAATTAAAGTAAAATATTTAAAAATTGGTAATTTAACTTAAAAATATATTGCTTATTAATGTAATTCAAAGCAATATAAGAATAGTGGCCATAAGAATTTATTAAAGTCTTCAATATTAAGTAAATATATAATTGTTTTAAATCGGGTTTGATAATGAGCTCTCTGTAAAAATTATAATTTTATTAGAAGTTTTGGGGTTTTTTTTAATTCCAGGTTTTAATTACAACAAGGACAGCTGCTGATAATTTTAGCACCCAGTATGTTTTAGATGGCAGTGGTCACATAATTTCTCAAAAACCTTCACATCTTGGTCAAGGTAAGAGAGTAGCTTTGTAACATTCTTTGCCTTTTCTGTCTTAATGGTTTATTCTTAAAAATTCTCACTCCTTTGATTCAAATGTTTCAGGCTTGATAATAGCTAGTCAACTTCCAAGTGAACATTTGGCCTCTACTTTAGCTACCAGTCTCCTAAATACTTAGAATTGGTCTCAAGAGGAACTGTGTAAAAAACTTTGGACAACAACATTGATTAGTTACTCTTCCGTAAAAACTGTAAGAGCAGTTATTTTATTCTCGCTGGATTACTACTGTCACTTTTATATATGAAGGATAATACTTGATTGAGATGCCTAAAACATTGCTGATTTTGTAATCATGGTAATAAACCCATATCATCAAGATATTACAACTAAATAATTTAAAATATATTTAGTTACAAAAACTTCAAACGTGCACAAGGAGATTGGATAGTGTACCCATCACTCATTTTATTTATTTTTAAAAATATTTTATTTATTTTTATAGAGAGGGGAAGGAAGAGAGGGAAAGAAACATCAATGTGTGGTTGCCTCTCATGTGTCCCCTACTGGGGACCCAGGCATGTGCTCTGACTGGGAATCGAACCAGAGACCCTTTGTTTGCAGTCCAGTGCTCAGTCCACTGAGCCACACCAGCCAAGGTCCCATCACTCAGTTTAAAAAATTACTAACTCTTCAGTAATGTTTCATATAATACCCTCATCTACTTACTCCTTTTCTGTATTATTTAAAGTAAATAATTATTTTAATTATTATTGCTATTGGTCATTTATATTTTTAGTGTTTAATACATTTAAGTAATTTTATTGTATTTTAATTGACATTTTATATTTCTGAGTACCCTTAAGTGGGGAATAATCTCTTCAGGCTTGCATTTCACGTATCTCCTTTAATCTTTCTCATACTGCTAACTTTTGGTAATAGGATGTTTAAAGTTGAGAGAATATTAAAGGTATAACCTCTCCAGAATCATGTCCACAAAAATTGTTAAATCTGAAAAGGAACCTGTGTTTTTGTTGTTGGTTGCCCTTCTTCTCCAATTTGTATTGTAAATTCATTTTTAATTTTGTGCTCTCTCCCTATAATTTATCAGTGTATTATATTTCTTTTGTGGTTTATTCCCTCCAGTTTTAATGTTAAATTATTTGATTTATTTTTTCAAATGACTTGCGTTTCTTCATTGAAATTTATTTTCTTGTATCTTAACACTAATATCAAATTTTCTCATTCTTTTTTTATAAACCTCCAATTAGTTATTGATTAGTTTTTTCCATTAAGAAATAACACTTTTGTATCCACATGGGGGAAAGAGTAAAACTCCTAAGAAAACACAATAAAATTTTTTCTAATTCAGTTCATAAAAATGAGCTTATCTAATTACTAATTAATGTGACACATAATAATGTACATGTTTTATTTTAGAATAATATTGTGATTCTTTCTATGTTTGGAAGATTAGGACAAAGAGAGGCATTTTTAAATATGGTTACTCTCCAGAAATGCTCTAACCCCAGTTCTTAGGAGTTCAAATTAGGAAACCATTAGGAGATATTTGAGTGGCTATCCAGTAGAGTACTTTGAAGTAATCTAGTCACCTTATAAAACTTAAATGTATTTATTTTTATCTTAGTAGTAGCCAGCCTAATCTGGATGGCCAGTGGCTTTGCATCACTCATACTTTTCATGCTTTCCTACATTCATCTCCATGAAAACTATGAAATAACAATTCTTAAATGTGGAATCCTGATCTTTGCCTGTTTCTGATTGATTTTTCTTTTCTTCTGACCTAAGTGTCCTGTTTTTAGTAAGTGAGATCAGGTATGCATATTAAGGGATTTCTACAGTCAATAAATGAACTGTATTTTCTTTAGCAATATTTCTTTTACCTTAAGAAACAGCATACTTGGAAATTCAGTAGCTGCTAAACTAGGAGAAAAAAGTAATTGCCTTTCATAGCTCACTTTTTTCTCCTAATTACAGTTTATTGGCTATGGAAACAACAATAAAAAAATCAAGCTCTTAGATTCAAACTGTTTGATTAGTTTGATTTCAAAAAAAAATCAAGCTCTTAGGTGGACATATTATAGAAATCCACAAACACTTTCAAAAGCATTTTACATTTATATTGCCTTAGTGCTGATAGTTTTTGAGTGATTGAATCACGTACTCACATTTCACCAGCAGCTGTCATTCAGCTTCCATTTAAATATTTTCTGTGTAAGATAAAACTACAGTTCAGCCATCTTAATTAATACCTGTGCATTTAGAGTTCTTGTAGATTAATTTCTGCTGTCATGTAAAACATCCTTACTTAGCAGTTACTCCTCATATCATCTGATAAGATGGCACCTGTAGACACCCTAACTGTAGATGCAGGGGCAACTTGCAAAAGATCTTTTTTAAGCATTGGAAAATTTGTTACCCCTTAAAAAAAACATTTTAAAATGTTTAAAAATAGTTTACTGGAGATTCCAGTTCTGGTATAGGTATTTGTTTTATGGGTTAATTTAGCCATTTAAAATGATTTTTGTGTTTAACAGTATGCCATTTAAAATTACTCTTACCTTCCGTTTGCTTTTATTTTAACACATTTAAAAAAAATAAATATAAAAATAAGTCTTCAGCTTTTAAATTCTTTTACCAAGTACTCTGACTAAATTATTTGTTTTAATCATTCATTTTTTGTCATCATTTCTGTTCCCTTTATCCTAATCAGTATTAAGCTTTCTAAATTGATTTACTGTCCTGGAAAAATTCTTTTAACACCTCCTAGTACTTCTTCTTCCTTAGGAATTTCTCAGATGCCAAAAGTAGTATATTTAAAGTACTCCGAGAGGCTATTTCCTTTCCCTACCCTGTTACTAGAGTAGAGCATCATGTTCTTTGTAAATCCCTGCTATGTGTGATTGTGCATGTATTGAAAGATTTTTTAATCTTGAGAATGAAACTTTAATAAATAGTTTAAGGAAATTCTGATATATTCAATCAATCATACCTCTTTACATTAGGAATATAAATAGCTGCCTATATAAATGGCATAACATAGGCATTGTATAAAAATATAACAGGGAGCATATCACAGGACTGCAGTTTAATTCTGGTGTTTGTAGAATGCGCTAAAGTTAGAGAGCTGAGCAATTCTCTTGTAAAATATGATAGTATATTCTAGAGCCTCCTCCCTATAGATAGATCATTATCACTTGGTACTTTTGTTTAAGGCTATATATTTTATTTTGAATCAGCAAAGTTTTCCATCACTAAATTTTATTTCAACATAATATTCTTGGCTTATTGGTAATTTTCAGTTTACTTTGAGGATATTTTTAGCTGCTAAAGCAATTACCAGTTAATATATATGGATTATATATAGTGTGGTCTTTGATATATAACATATATTTTAAAAATCAACATATATTTTTTCCTTTCACAAACACATTTATATTTTGCTCTACTGATTTCTCCCTGCCCTCCTACACACCATCTGTTAACAGCTACAGGATATGCCATTATATTTGTCACGGGCTAGTGGAGAACCCAGATGAGCAAAGGAACTGACTAGTGGACAACACAGATGAGTAAATAAGTAATAATAGTAAAAAGCAGCCGCTAGCTGCCAAGAGGAAAGTTAGCAAAATTTTCAAAAAAGAACATTTGAGTTGGAAAATGTTAGGTCAGAAGAGATGGTAGCATAACGTTTTAGCAAGAGAAGACTGATGGATATAGATTTCAAGAGACCATTGCTCTCTATGTAACCAGGAAAAGAAGAACACAATTTTAAAAATTGTATTTTTAAGAACCCATTGAAGTACTATGTCACAAAGAAGTTTAAATGAATTAAGTCGAAAAGAAAGATGACCTCTTCTATGATTAGAGACTAGTGGCCATTTGGCATCCCTGGAAACACTGAATCAGGAGGCATAGCAGGCAAAAGAACAGGCCTGCTAGAGGCAGGGGACCTTTTATGACCCTAGGAGAAACCAGCTGAACTTCGAATAGCCAGCCACATGTGAGTTGACATGACAGATTAGAAGATGGGAACCTCGAACACAGAGCTAGTTCACCCCAGATGCCAAATCTCAGGACTTTTACTGAGTAAGCAAGTGATGAAGAAAGCTGGAACTGAGCTAGAGACAGAAAGAAAGCTCTTAAAAGTCTTTCAGTGCTTAAGCCCCAAAGCATTGCTAGAGGAAGAGACCTGTTTCCGTCTTAAAGATACTTGAAACTGGAAGTGAACTGGAACTAAATGAAGAGGCACCTCAGCTCCAACACAGATAAACTGATTATATTGAAAAGATCCACTCCTCACCCTAGCTGCTTGACAAGAGAAATGAAGTGCCTTCTCTGGAGGAAAGTATTGTCGACTTCATTATCTATTCTTTTGTACACAATGCCTAGCAAAAATAAGAATATTAAGAGATGTGAAAAAAGGAAAATGAGATCCATAGTCAAGAGAAAAAATAGTTCATATAATCAGACTCATAAATCATCCAGATATTTAAAGTAGCATTTAAGAACTTTTAGAACAACTGTTAATGTTAAAGAATTTGGAGGAAAACATGGTTCTGATTTCATGGTGTTTTTTTTTTTAAACAAAAACTAATTATTAACCTGATATTTTAACAGTATAGTTTTTTAAACCTTTATTTAACTTCTCATTAAATAAATTAAGTTTAAAAAAATACCCTGTTTTGAATACTTGTTCAGAAGAAGAGGCCATAAATTAAACCACGCAATTAGATATTTCAGATAAGAATTTTTTGTGAAATAATTAAGGTTATGACATAGGCTATGTAGACACCTATCTGTTATATTTTAAAGTGTAGATTAAGCATTATCCCCAGGTGGTTTGAATACCAGCAGGATATTTAAGATACTACACTCTGTTGAGCCCATGTTTTTCTGCAGTGATAGAAATAAGATTGTTCTTGTTTATACCATGTAGAAGAGATCATTCTTAGGAGGTCAGGCCTGTTACAAATAAAAGAGTCTATCTAGCACAGGATCAGGATAGCTTGCAATTGAGTCTCCTTGGGTTCCCAAAGTTGGAGGATGACTGGCCTTCAGTAATAGACAGGGTTTATTACTGGCTGTGTATGGATTTGAAAATCTGAAGTTCCTTCCACATCTAAATAAGCTTTCCTCTTACCTGCCAACAGGTACAACCGTTACTGCTTTAAGATTGTTTAAGAATCTACCTGTAAGAAAGCAATTTTACTCAACTGCTAAAAAATGTAAAGATGAAATAAAGAAGGTCCTAGATCTCCTCATGAGCTATGGAATACTTAAACCTGACTTAAGGATTCTCTTTATACATAACAAGGTAAGTTACTGTTCTTTTATAAAATTTTTTTTTGTATATGATATAATAAAGGGACAGTGTATTTTTATCTGAATCAGATATATAGAGTCTTTTTCAGAAATTTTTCTGCATTTGTTTAGTTTAATCTTAGTAAATAAAGATTCTTTACCTAATATCTATATACAGTCTCCTTGAACCTAATATTTCTTAATTTCTAAGCTCAGCATTCTGCCAGCAGTCTTTTCTATCCAGGAAATATTTGAGTACTCATAAGTATGAAGACAAAGACTCATTCTTTTCCTATAAGGAGTTCACAATTAAGTGACAGTTTTAATCATCTATTCTAAATTGTTTCTTTGGAAGAGTTTGTATTTTAAAGGACTCACTACCTCATTTTTTCCATTTTTCAAAGGGCTGATGAGGAACTCTTGTTGACTGATAAATCTTGGGGGAAAGAAAAGTTCACATAATTTGATTGTTTTTCAATAAAATTCTACATGTGTACCTCAAAATAATTAATGGAAGGAGAGCAGAACCACACTACAGAAGTATGAAAGTCTGACAGGGAGTGAGGAATTAACGTTGATTAAAGACCTACCTAATGCCAGGACCTATCTAGGTGCATTAAACGCCTGTAATCCACAGCTACAATCAACTAAGGTAGACATACCAGTTTTGCAGTTGTCCTCTGAAGTGCACTTAGGGAGGTTCAGTACTTTGCTCTGTGTTGCCCAGCTAGTATTGTTATGATGGGATTTGAAACGAACATGCCTACAGAATTTCAGGTCTTTATTGTGTTGCTTCTCATTTTAATAGTACTCTATATTGATATAGTTCTTTGCCGGGTTTAGAGTACTTAATAATACAGCATTATTTCTATTTGTGTGGGGAACTTGAAGTTCAAAGTGATCAAAGGAATTGTTTTCGCAAAGTAATCAAAGGACTCATTTTATATTTTCTAGTAAGTAATAGTGCTGAGGTCAGAACAGTTTTCATCCAGTTTTCTTTCTTCTCCATGTGTTTTTACTTGTTATTAAGATTTTGTATTGAACCAAGCTGTGGTGAAATATTTATGATAAAATATTTGGTCATAAAAATATTAAAAACAGAAAAACATAAAGAATAGGCAACCATCTGCTCCTTCTGGCATAGAGCTCAACCAAATGATACCTTAATGTCCCTTCCAGCTCTACCATGCTGTGATTCCTCAGGATGTTGATAGATGGAGGCTCACCCTGCTAATATGAATAACTGTATGACCTTGATCCAAAGGACATTTAGTAATTAAAAGTTCAATATACCCAATTAAAAAGAGATCAAAGACAGAAGAAACAATGATAAGAAAATAGATGGAAATGTGAAATATTAAGATAGGAACTACGTATTTATAAAAATGAGTACAACTAAAGAGAAAAGTTGAGTAAGAAAAAAAACATAAGAATAAAACAAGATTATTGCCTCATGTAATACAAATGAATACTTAAAGTCAAATATACATATATCATATATATAAAGTTTATATATGTATATAAATATGTCTTATAAACTTTTCATAAGTTTATATTATTTTCCCAGCTACTATAAGATCATCAGTATAGGCATTTTCTTTTGAGAATGGGAAGTAGGGTTTTATAATATTCTGCATTTTATTATTTCTGGAGGACAGTGTATCTGAACTTACAGTATATTGTGCAAGCACAAGTCCCTCAATGGCCTTCAGTAATTTCAGGTCCTGGAGAGTGGGCTGAGAACGTTATACTATTAAAGTAATGTAAGATTATCAAAAGTCTTACAGTAAAGTTAGGTATTAGCTATTATTACAGAAAGACGTCACAGACTAAATTACAAGCAGTCTATCTTCAAGTTTTTTTCTCTTAGTACAATTGTTTTTCTACTTTTTTATTTCTCAGTAGTGTTGTTGCACCTCAAATTTTAAAATGTATTGTTAAATTCCCAAAATTACGTTGCCACATTTTCTTAAATCTTTTTGAACATTGATTACAGTTCTTGTCTTAGTCTTTTTCTTTTAAACATGCTAACTTTTATCACATTTTATGTACTTTTCTGAAGAATATTTTATGCTTTTGCTTAAAATTTAAACATGACAATATTGGCATTTTTTCTTTTTTCTTTTTTAAAAATTTCTTTTGCATTAGAAACAAACAATCACACATAATATGAGAAGTACTATTGCTATTTTGACATCTTGGATTAGATAGTGTTCCTTCTTTTTATGAAGGTTTAACCTGCCAGGACATTCTTTGAATACTGATAATGTTGATGTTCTTGCCAGTATGGTTATGTTAGAAAGAGGTGTTTTTCTTCTTTCATCATCATGTTCCTTGAAAGCATATTGAATAATGTGACAGCCAAAGGGAAATAATTTACAAGTGGATTCGATGAGTTTATTTAAAGTAGATAATATTTGAAGAAATGCTAGAATTGTTCCTTAGGATGAGCACTACAGTTTTCATCTTTAATTTTTAATAACAAATCCTGTGGAGTCCTGTTGCATATATTTTCATTTATAAAGTAGTTATTTTCCATAATTAGAAGTTTTTCTCAGTGTGATAATATATGAAACCAACTTAGCTATTCTTGGCTGTTTCACATGTACATGAGTAAGTCTGTAGGTCACGAGTTCAGAGCATAACGTTAAATGTATGAGTTCAGATAAAAGACACTTGTTGACTTTTGTCAGTATTTTCTTTTGCAGAAAATATTGTTTGTAGTTTTAAAAATTGAATTGAATTTTTGTCTTAATAATTAGAAGCCCACTGATATTGCAAATGCTGAATTGGTTGCCATTTATATAAGGAGGTTTTAACTGGTACAAAAGAGAAGTGATTGAAGGAATGACTCCCCACTTATCGTACTTCCATGTAATGTGAGTGCCAAGGCTTATTGAGACTTCATGTATCTTAGAGGTTTGGAAGAATGGTGACACAGCTTTGAAGAGCTGTGTTTCCAAGATTCTGGGAAAAGGCAGGGCATTAGCCAGTAGCAGAAACCCAGAAAACTGGCTGTGGGGATTTGTTAGTGAGTGTGGTGGCCCCCTCTCTTGACACAGTTTTTGGGTCTCTAGGAAGATGGTGGTGGCCAAAAATTTTGGAGGAGGTAGTAACCAAAAATGAGAAAGAAGGGACACATTTATTGAACTGCAAATTAAAGAAATAAGTGGTAGCTTATAATCTGTGTCGCCTACATTTATGGTGTTCTCTTTGCATCTTTTTTATTTTATTCTTTTTTACATATTTTCACTTTTACTCCAGAACTTTTAAATGTCCCACTTTTGTTTCAGCTGTGCTATGAGGAATCAAGGAAAAGTCTTTGCCCACAATTAGACCAATGTTAAAGGGGCATGCCCTCTTCCCCCATCCCAGCCTGGGTTGTGGAGGCAGTATAGTCAAAGAGAAGTTCCAATTTAGAACTTTGGTTTAAATGTCCCTTCCTTATGAAGAAAGTATTCTTTTAGTTCCAACCTTGAAAGTTTGGGTGGGTTTTGTTTTTGTGTCTTTTTTAATTAATGAAAGCAGGTGTCTATTTAGATATATTGTAAAGTTAGCGTGGGGCTGATTATCGATCATGATTTGTTGGTTGTTGTTTTTTTCTTTTCCTACTTGTAATTTAGTGATAACTAAATTTTTTAAAAGTGGTTCTCATGTCCTATTCTGTTTTAGTAAGTTCTTTTACTTTTCACCTAACTTCTATGAAGTACTCCAGAGTGGGGCAAAAGTAGGTTTACAGTTGTGAGTACACAAAATAGTTTTTTTTAAATTATTTGTTAACTACTATATTATTTTCCAATATGAACAACTGTAAACCTACTTTTGCCACACCCTGTATATAGTAGAAATGGGAGGTAATACATAAATCAAATTTTAATGTAGTTGATTTCTGAGTTTGATGTTTATGCACAATCTTAAAGGAGTGTCTGAAGTCTTCCTCTGTTCCCAGAAAGACTTAGTTACTTCTCGACTTTTTCCATAACATTTTCTACATATTTCTATTATGTCATTGTTAATTTGTTGGCAATGAATTACATTCTGTCTCCCTTTCTCAACAACTGTTTTGGGAGGGAGGGATACATCTTATCTGTATTTCCTTTTCTCGGTGCATATAGCACAGAATGGAATACTAAATGAATTAGGTAGTGCTAAAATCAAAATATAAATTTATATAGCACCAATTTTAAACACTCTGATGTCTTTCTAACCTTTCTCATACTCTTAATTCATGAAGTGAATCTTCTGAGGATTCATTCTTTCGGATTCCCCAGCGACCTCTTAGATTTTTACAGAGTATATTCTCACTTGTATCCACAGATATTATTCTAGTTGTTGTTTTTGTGTTTTTGTTTTTGTTTTTTTCCTGACATCTACGTCACCAATAATGTCTTCATTATAATTGGTCAGGAAATAGGGACTTCGGCACAATGGGAGGAAACACTTAACAGGGACACAGTCTCTAACAGCTGTCAATTTAATATACATTATTTCTACTGAGTTAACTAGAACCATATAATTATTCCTTTACAGATCCTCTAACTAAATACATATTATATACTTACTGTTTATCCTAATACATTTTTCTACTCCAAGACAGTAGATTTCTCTTCTGATTGGTAATACCCAGAGAACTTTCCACAAATCTAGCTTTTTGAGCTTAGCCCAATAAAAGGTGGTAAACTAATCTCTAAGGCTGTAAGAATGTATGCTTATATCTTGGGCAATTCCTCTTTTCCGTCACCTACAGGTTTTAATGAGATGATTCATATATCAAGTCGTAAAATAGTAGAAGGTATAAGGATTGCTAGATCTTTACAACTGGGGAGAACCACTGAAAACCATTTTGTCATGCCCCAGATCTTTTAGCAAAAAGAGTATTTTTGTTTCTGCCCCTTCCCATTTTATCTTCATGTGACCACTCAAGAGTTTGAGTGGATTACCCAATAACTTAACTGTTGAATACGGTAGAGGATGGCCTAAATTTCACATCTGTTAATTTTAATACAACATTCA